CCGTAGCCTACTAGAATTAACACTAAACGAATATTTCTAAATTGAAATTTATAATTAAATTAGGCGTCTCGGATTCTTTAACGTTATAAATTTCTGATGATTTTGAATCACCTAAAGCAACAATATCTATTTTTCTACTGACTAATCCTTAATCAACACTATAACTAGTTAAATTTAATAGTTTCAGGATACTGTCATAAAGCATTGTCATAACTTGACAATCACGTAATATGACTGATAAAATTAATAAAACTATTAACGAAATCGGTCAACAAATTGACTTATAATTATCATTAAATGGTGTTGTTTTCTTGGTATCTTCATCCATCACAGATGATTACAGTATGTTTCTCTATCAGTTGCTCATTCAGTAAATATCTCAAAACCTTGTCAGTCTAATTGATGGTTTAGCGACACAATCATGCATGCAAATAATTAGTATAAGCAGTCGAGCGAATCTCCTGCAAACTGAAAACATCAATGTCGAATTTACCCCAACACTGACTAAGGTTCAAGCCATTATCATAGACATGAGTTGGGAGTGTACTCCCCCTGGTTACAACTTATGTTCTCCCTGATAATCACATGAGCATCACTCACTATTAATCATCTTGTAAAAACTTATTTAGCTAAATACATTTTGCAGCACCACATCACTTCGTAATATGACACAGGTCTAACTGATTTTAATAACTTGTAACCACTATATCTCAATTGAATCGTATTCCGCCTTATGATAAACTGCATACTTGCAACTAACTTGTATGTCCAATCAGCCGGCAAGTATAAATACAAGTAAATAGTCTGCCACAGATCAGAACATTGAGTCTAGAGCATGTCTCTTACGAATACGCTCATGTTTAACGATTTGTTCCTAGCTATCTGTCCAGAATTCATATAATCATCACTCACGTATTTAAATTTTATTTTGATAACCATTCATGTGTATTAGTAGCATTACCAAATTCTATCACGGTCAAGTAAAAATGAGGTAGAGAAAATCTCCCCGTAACTAAATAAACCGTATCAAACTAACTGGAACACTAGTTGGAATTCTTTACCATGGTAATACTTTTGTTCCTTCAGTTAGCCTACTGATACAGATGCAATTGGAAATCAACTCTTATGGACAACTTACCGGCATAATCGTTATCTGATTTCATAATTTAAACCAAAACTAATATCAATATTAACATTTCTACAATATTCATTATTTTAATACTTCTAAACACAAAATAATTACTGCCTATAAGTTAAGTTATTAACACGCGTCGTTTTATTATTATTATTATAATCCCATTTTTTATAGTTCAAATAATCTTCAACCAAATTTTCATTTTAAGCGTGTTAATCATGAAAGCAGATATTTTAAGATTATTACATGTATTTCCCGACCAGATTCTGCCGCCTTCTTTTTGATTTATCTTTCAGCTTACCAATACCCGGAGGATTCTTATTATCCTTGGTAACCTCCGGCGCGCGACGATCCCATCCAATTTGGTATCGAACCAACATCACGTTGATTCTGGTGGGAGAGTAGTGTAGTGGCATTGGACAATAGCCACACAATCCACAAAGCTGTGAACACGAGACTACTCAGAAAATAGATGTTCAATATTTAACGCGGAGAAATACCTAACAATGGAGAAGGCGCGAACAATGAATTGAATGGACTGGAGTTGATCGAGTGGCATGGCTCGGCCATGCAGGCGTGGTCTCTATTCATATTAAATATATTGTTCTTTCTCTAACCTAACCTTGTTCTTCAACATGTATTGGTAATTGATACGCTACAGTGAGTTGGTGTAGTCGATGGTGTGACTTCCATGTAAGATCTTATAGATTAGGCAGTTATATCATGACAAATCTACAAGTTTAGGATTAGGTCTATTATTAGAGCAGTAATAATATCGTAGTAGACCATAGATTCACAGTGAGGAGTTTCTTGAACTCCTTGGTTTAGTCCAAGAGATGTGCTGTGCATTGACGTGTTTGTGTACAGATTTCTGAATACATACGAAGCTGTTTCAACGAAAGACTCGTTCTACTGATCAATCTAACGAGAATAATGAGTGTATAATATCTTACATATCTGCTTTATAAACTTTTGATCTAGCATGAGCTGATAGGTCCTTGTTATCGAAAACCATACGTAGAACAGAGACTAGGACTATGTGGTAACTTTTACCTAGAGGTGGCATATAATGGAGGTTAGCGACTTCATTTTCGTAGTGTTTGAATATGAGCTGTATTTCGATTGATTCGTAGTTCATATCATCTCCAACTGCTTCTTTCACAGGTTGCATTAGGGCATATGTAATAACCGTTTCAATTATTTTCTGGTCGAAAGAATTTTCTGGTAATCCATTTCCCAGATTTTCCCGGTTTACTGTAGGTGAATTAAAATTTTCCAGGATTAAACATCGGCCATTTGATGAATACGTGCTGAAACCATCTAGCAAGACTTTATTCACTTCAGAGTTTAGACTGTGGTAGAGAAGAAGTAATCAGCTTCTCTTGTCATTTGCGTTTTAGTTGGCAACTGTCTAATTCGCCTGTCTCACTTTCATGAGATTTGTTATTAATAACGGTAAATGGTATAGTATTTCTAACAAATAGGGCTACTCTCCCTTTTTTGACTTCCCTGGACTCTGTCGTCTCCTATTAACGGTAAACTTTCAAATCCAAGTTTGCTATTGTCTACAGCCATAGTTACGTCACCGCGATCACAATCGGCTTGTACATGTGGCCACGACCCTTTCCTGAGCAAGCTCTATGCACTTGTGTAACGGATCCGATGATCATTTAGGTAAATTCATGTTTCACCGGAAGCTTCTTACGCAACATTTTTTGTCGAAGTCTCGTCACCTGAAAATTTAAAATTTTAAGGTCCTGGCTAGGATCGGCAAGTCTTTACGGACGAAAATTCCTGACCCGTCAAGTTTATGTCCATCCTGTATTATTACGTCCCTTTCATCGAAAATTTAAATTCAACTTTCAGAAGTTTGGTTTCTTTATTTGGCAAGGTGACTCCAGGGATATCCCCAGGCATTATCTAGTTTAGTGGCAGATTTTTAACTCAATGTTATGTTCATAAAAAGTTTTGGGTTCCGAGCTCTCAATCTGCTTGCCTCAATGAAAGGCATCTGACTTGTTACTGCAATCAATTTCTCTGTAACTGTTTGTGGGAGCATCTTCTTTTAGCAACATTTAGAAGTTTCCTCTCCTTGATATGTACCTATTCATAACCATTCACTGAAACGGTGATCATTGTGTTACACGCACTGTGTGATCCTATGTAGTTGTAAGATCAATTATTGTTTGGATAGCTAAGTGGTCATATTTTTTAGAACTGTAAGATCCAAACTAAGGTTTGGACGGAAGAATAGCTGTCTAGGTGGGTCAGGTACGTGCCCTCGCCCGGTTGAAACCAAAACAAAGTGATTGGGTAAAATGACGGTTCAAAAATTCATTGCAAATAAAATTTACATTGTTACTTAAACAAATATGACTACTCAGCTATCCAACCAATAATTGTTCAATTAGTCAAACACAAATTACAGTAAATAAGGAAGATTATAAAGGATGCGAGAAAATTACCAATCGCAACAAATAAATGCTGTTCTACCCTGTCTAAATAGAGCACACACAGATTCGTTCAAAAGACAATATTTGATTTGCTTTATAACACATAGTGTTTCCAGTTCTGGAAGAGTGCCTCGATTTACAACCAAAAATGCACAATTCCAGTCAATACAAGCGACACAATCAAAAAGGGGAACAAACCAACATGGTTGCCGCCAAGATTAAGTATCAAGTAAAACAACATAAGTGCATTTGAGAAACACGGAGACATAGTGAAGGCGTAAGAAAAATAGAAACTACGATAAAATACAAGTATTACCAACTCTTTGGTCTTCAGTCTCGAGTAACAAGAGTACTATGTCTGCAGAATTATAGTAGTCCTTGTAGGTTGTTTCTTGATGAAGCATCAGATTCTTAAAATGTTCACTAATGAGGTTGGTATCACTTGTTCGGATAGAGTGTTTTATAATTTACTACTCGGTGAGAAAAAAGTGGCTTCACTCCGAGTTTACGAAATAGTGTTTTCTAAACCTTCTTGCTATGGTCTTGAAGATGATTGGTTCTGAAAGGAGCAAAAAGATAAGTTACATTAACACCCAAATCGTTATTAAAGATACATAATGCTGATATGAGGTCACCTTGCATCCTACGATACGATAAGGGGAAAAAGTCAGTCGTTTTAGGCGCTCATTGTAAGGGATTTTGGAACGATCCTTTACTAACATTGTTCTTATACGTTGAAGATGGCACAGGTTTTCAGTGTTTGACAACGGTTAAACCAGTAACACCTTCTAATATAACTCGTACCCACCAAGAGAAATCAAAAGACAGAATCGAAGAGATTGGAAGATATATTTGATATGATATCAATATATCGAGAATCGTCTGATCTAATCTGGCTAGCGATTGCCGTAAATGTTGAGCACGGCGTTCCCACCCGTGATCTGGTGCGGATGCATGACCGAGCGCCTTCAGCTAGGTGAGTCCACTAAAACTTATCTGGTCAGCATCCAATATTGGAAACTTGCAGAGCAATTTATTTCGGGGATTTATTTACCGCTACAACGTCAAACGCACTCTAGCGTGCATCATCAACAAGATATGAACTGACTGTTTAAACACAGAATTCTAGGTGTGCTTTACACAAGTTTGATATAGAAATTCGCAACATCCCCTCGTCAAAGCATTTGAATCCTTGACGAAGTGATCACAAGGCTCGAAAACCTTTAGCGGCTGCTGAGTTGGAATGAGTTGTTTTTAAGTCGTATCTGTAAGTTTAACTATGATTAAGACTGCATGAGACCAAAAATCTTTCAATAACATGTCACTGTCAAGTAACAGTAGAGCACTTAAGCAAATATGGCAATGAATAACTTGGTCTGAAATGACAATATTGAAAATTGGATTAGATAAACAGTAGTGAAAGGCGGGTCAGCCAGTTTGCCTCTCATAGATGACGGGCAATTCTAATGATAAGGTGAACCCGGGTAGGTATAAGCTGTGCTACGTTTTAACTTTATATCGTTTATTATGTATCAAGATGGTAGGTGAGTGTCCCTTTTACTGCATTCCGTGAATTACCCACATAGTTTTCTCATAGACCTCGAGTCGATTATTTAAGTGGTCAAAAATAAAGACAGACTGCTACTAGTAATCAGTGAGATAGTTTTTTAAAGAATGACATAAATACGATAAGTTTCTCCCCAAAATAGCTTCGTCGAGTGGATTCATTTGTTTGTGTCCTTTAAAATCCACCCAGTAAATACATCTTTAAATTGTACTTTTCGTCACATGTATAAAGTAATCGACCTCAAATTATTCGTCATAATCCATTGAATACATGTCGTTTTCATCGTTCTTCATTGTGCACGTTGTCATCTAACAACTCACCACAGCGACGATTGCTAAAAGCTGTTATGGATTAACACAACATTTAGAATTATCCTGTTCTAAAATACATAAATGTCCACAAAAAATGTTCATTTCGCTCATAAGTTTTAGTAAAAAGTTATGGCAAAAACTCATTGCAAAAAACATTTCTGTTCAGGTCATCACAGGTGATAGATTCGACGACGTGGTATGAAGTAGCTTGACACATTTACTATTAGAGCCGCGTTAGTCTACCCTTTCCTGCTTTATTTCAGATCCGAAAAGTTTCTTTTTTCGTCTAAACGCCACGTGTGCAAGTAAGAGTTGTGGACATCTGTTAATAAATGCCTAAGTCAAATGAATATAAATAAGCCATATTTAACACCCTTCCTATTATGTGTTTTGCTTTAATATAAGTTTTATTATCCCATATTTTTTCATACCGCCTCTATGTCTTTATAGCATACTTCTCCCGTCTTTTACCATTGCTGCTATATCGTTTATACCAGTTTCGTCTCTAATCAAGTGGAAAGTGTGCAAGCTGTTTCTGATTGTCCGCGGAGTCATAGTACTGGGTTTGTATTATAATCACTAGTAACAGTCTAATCTAGCGACCAGTTACTGCTTAAAAACTAGTCTTTTCACGTCATACTCGTGGGAGCCTGTTGAATCTAACGTACAGTTTACTTTTGATAAAACCACATGTTCCGGTTTCTGTGACTATTTAGACAAAATGTAGCACTGGAAAGTGTTTTTCTACCTCGCGTTTACTAGAATCGAACATTAAATTTCAATGACATTAAATCGCCTTGGTCATTCAACTTTGTTTTAGAAACATTTTGTTCGATAAAATCATAATCAGCAACGTTCGGGTTGGTAAAAGTATTTTAACTAGTGAAATATAGTTAATCCATCAGATGAATCAGAACTGATTAAAGTAGGTCCAGTGTTACTCTTCTACCTTGTACTCCAACACTGGTTAGATGTATGTTGATTCCAAAAAGCCAGAGCGCAAGCATACTGAGTAAAGATTCTCTCCAACTGTCATTCTGAACAGTGTAAGGAAATAACTTTTTCACGACTAGGCTCAAGAAATGCTAAAATTCAGTATTTGACAATCCTCCATGATATGACCCAAACTTATTCGGTTTCCTTGTCTCCGTTTTTTGACCATCCTGTTTCTCATCTCCTATGTATTTAGTTGTTCAATGTCACTCGTTGCTGACATCCGCTTTTTTGTCGGAAGGTGTTGTAACTAATGCGAAGTTCTGGTTTTTATTAACATCCGAACTTACATTTGAGCACTCGTAAAATGATGGTAAATCCTCATACACCTAATGAATTGATGTAAAACGTTGTATAGACAGTACTTAAATAGTCAGTCAGTCGGTAACAACGTAGAACTTCGTACGTACGTACATCTGTTTGAGTTGCCATAGCACATTAGCACAGTGATGCAGTTGTCGATTCAAATCTCGTAGTTGTAGAGGTAGTAAAAATATAATCAGTAATCTAAAACTTTAGGGCTTCAAGATGTTATTCAAGGAGTATAATCCAGTGAAATAAATTTTGAAAGCAGTCAGTCAGTCAGTAACAACGTAGAACTTCGTACGTACGTACATCAGTTCGAGTTGCCACACCGCATTAGCACAGAGATGCACTTGTCGATTCAAATCCCGTAGTTGTAGAGGTAGCAAGAGTATAAGCAGTAATAGGGAAGATTAGGGTTTCGAGATGTTATTTAAAGAGTATAATCCAGTGAAGTAAATTTGGAAAGATGAAAAAAGGGACATGGAGAATTCAGAAGATTAGAATTTGGGAGAACACAAAAAGTGGATGCACCTGCGCCATTGCAAACGATTTTGAGCCATGTCATTCAGGGTCTCTAACCATCGGTTGCTGTCATCTCGCGGTCCCCAACCAGGTAGTCTACACCTACCAGCATGGTTCAGTCCGCTTGTCAGTGACTTCATGGACTTGTGCCATGTTTTGGTTTGGCCGCCCCTAGCTTTCTTCCAACTTACTCCTATACCACTGAACATAGCACGTCGAGGCAGTCGGTCGTTGGGCATACGTAACACGTGTCCCAGCCACCTCAACTGATGAAGTTTCACTACTTCATCAATTGATTTGCCATCCTTACCTAGTACCCGTTTCCTAACAACTGTGCTACTTACTCGATGGTCCCATGATATACGAGCAATGTTTCGAAGACACCTATGATCAAATACTAGTAACCTACGGATATCCTCTACTCTTACCGGCCATGTTTCACTGCCATAAAGTAGGACGGAACGAACTGCTGCGCAGTAAACACGTCCTTTGGTTGATAGACGGATATCTCGCCTACGCCATAAATGACGCAAGTTGGCAAAAGCTAGTCGAGCCTTCTGTATCCGTGCTGAGATTTCGTCACACACCAGACCACAAGGGCTGATGAGACTTCCAAGATAAGTGAAGCGGTCGACACGCTCAACTACTTCACTCCCTATCACTAGTTCGGGTGTCGATGTAACCCAATCCTGAAGCAACATTTTGCATTTCGAGGAAGAGAATCGCATCCCGAACATGCTTGCATTGTTGCTTAGAGTGGTCAGAAGACTCTGCATTTTGTCAGCGTCTTCACCAAATAAAACTATGTCATCTGCATATTCTAAGTCAACAAGTGAACCTCCTGGTAGAAGTTCAACCCCTGTATATTTAGATGAGGAGAGTGTTATCTCTAAAAGTACGTCAATGACAAAGTTGGACAAGAATGGGGAGAGTGAACAGCCCTGACGAACACCACTTGAGGTGATCAATTCTGATGACTGTTCGCCATAAGCTCTCACTCTACCAGTTGTGTTCGAGTAGAGAGCCTGTATAAGGTTAATGTACTTCTTTGGTACTCCTTTCAGTGACAAACACTGCCATAGAACCTCACGATCAACAGAGTCGAATGCCGCCTTAAGGTCGAGAAATACTACCATTGTGGGGCGTCTGAATGTGTGTCTGTGTTCTAGAACCTGACGTAGTGTGAATATCTGATCTATACAACCACGTCCAGGTCGAAAACCAGCCTGGTTTTCTCTAGTCTGCTCTTCACGAGCTTTAGTTAGGCGTCGAAGTATTATTGAAGCTAATATTTTAGACACTATATTAGTCAAACTGATTCCTCTGTGATTGTCACAAGAGGACTTTTGTCCTTTCTTATAGACTGGCACAATCAGTGATTGAGACCAGTCAGATGGGATTACGTCCAGTTCCCAAATTCTACCTAAGACCTCGGTTAATCTCATTGCTAATACTGGACCACCATCCCTAAAAATCTCAGGAGTAAACCTGTCAGGGCGACAGTCTTCTATCGAACCCCTCTATCGGTGGCTTATAGCGATGTTATCTATTTGGGTCCAACGTTGGGACGAATTCTGGGGTCACCATGTCAAAAGATGGTTTTCCTCATGCTTGAAGTTAGTATTTGCAAGGAACAGGCGGTTATCTGAGCATAGCTGCAATAGACGGTCGCCATTATCTGTTCTTTGAGCCACAGCACCATACGATCCACCTAGGTGTCTTTCCCTATCGCTTAGTTTACCTATTTGAGCATTAAAGTCACTAGCCACTTACTATCATCAGAGCGCTTAGCTTTTCGGAGGTTCGAAAGCTTTCTGTAAAACTCATCTTTTACAGCATCTGAGCTGCAGTCAGTGGCAGAATAGGCGGAGACGACGAAGAGGCAACGACGAGTGTTCCTATCCTTCTGAGTCCTTACTTTTCCGTTTAGTCGAACAGCGCACAAGTGACTGTCTGCTGGAATCCAGTCTAAGAGAGCTTGTTCTGCCCTAGGACTCAATGCTAGACCTACGCCGGCGAGGCCTCGGGAAGCAGCATCATGGCTTCCAGATAAACGAAGCGTCAATCGAGTCGGTTCTTTATTTTGACATGGTGAGGTCAAATGAATGACGCTGCTCGGATCCTGTATGCGCGTTTCGGAGACGCAGCACACATCGATGGCGCGGGATTCTAAAGTTTTAGCTAATGAAGCCTGCTGTCCTATTTGGCAAAGTGTTCGTACGTTAAAAGCTCCTACGTGTAGTTTAGAGCGTGGTTTCAGGAGACCAGGAATAACGTTCCGCGTACTCGAATCGTTTGCACTAGCGGTGCGAGGTGATAAAGGGACGAGAAGGATTATTCGTGGAGATAGAGTTATTAGGAGGTGTAGGAAGGATTTGAATATGACCAACTTGGTCTCGTGTGTTGTTACGGGTATGAGGGCTGATGTCACTTCACGGCTTCCCACACCGTGGAAGGGTATTTCTTAAGGAAACACCTGAAAGGAAAGTTGGGTTAGTGTCGGTCTTGACGACCTGGGGGCGTAACCACAGGGCCCAAGGGACAACTGCTTGAGGCCGGTTGCGCGCGGCCTTTTTGTGGGAGGTTTTTGACGTGTTAGCTCCGTTCTTCGAAGGACCTTACCTCCGGAGACGGAGACCCGTGAGGTAAGGTGAGGCGTGACATTTTTATGGCCGACCTTTTCTAACCCCTTCCTTCCTCGTGGGAAGGCAGCATCGCTGCAGATACTGGTTGCTCGAGGGGAACATCTTACTGCTGTCACACCCCTCTGCAGTCAGCCGTACGACTTCGCCCTCAGACCTTGAGTTGCTGCTTGTAGTCTAACCGTTCTCCAATCGACCTGCCTGGCATGGTAGAACCTACAGGAACATATGTTCCAGCCAATATAGCTCGGTCGGGTCATCACGATGGGCCATCTCGACCACCACGTCAAGGTAGCAGCTACCGTCGGGATTACTAAATAGCAAAGATATCGAACGGTTGTTGGTCTGTGTCATGAATTAACTGAACGTGAAGATGTAATTGTTTAGACTCCAGCTTAGTGATTTAAAAGTAACGTGGTCGCTGCAGCAGTACAAGTTTATTTGCTTGACCCATTCATAAGACTAAATAACTGCTTAGTACCTTTTTGATTTTCGGTGATTCTTTAGTTGATATCTACGTGTAACAAAAAATCATCCTTAATAAGACTGAACAGAGCCAGCAAGTAAATAGTCGTAAGGTTATTCTGAATTCCTTGATTATGAATGGTAAATGCTTGTGATGGCACACAAACTTCACTTTTTAATGAAGCCTTAAATACATTGTGACAAATATTCAATTTTTGTCACGCATCTGCTAGTTTTTTGTTACCACTAGCCAGAAATATGTTCTACATAGGCCTTTAAATCCAGTAGAAACGTCTTAGTAAATTAGTTATCTTTCGTATCTTCACAGCATTTTAATTCATGTTCTTCGTAAGAAATATTAACTAAAGATCGAGTTCAGTACTTTTAAGGAAACTTTTTTTCTGCTAGTCTCATTTTTTGTGTTTTTCGCAATTCTCTACAAATTTTAAAATGATTTTTTCTTTCCTACTAACTTAAGACTTTTGTCGAGTTTGCCGATGTGAGGGGACTGCTTCGAAACCTCTATTTCATCCTTGTTTGTGCACTGGGAGTATTAAATATATTCATCAAGATTGGTAGGTTTGTAGACATTGTCTGTGAGTTTCTTCTAACGGTAATGCTGTTTTGTTCATCCACTAAAGCAGACCTTTCAAATAAGCAATGATTTGTCATGACATTAACTCAATAATAAAACTGATAGTTTAGATATGTGGACAAAACTCACAACAATTAAATCACTTGCTCCAAAATGTTTCACTTTCTATCTGGGACGTCAAGTAGTGTCGTTGGTGCATAGAAAAATATACATGACAAGTAGCGATCTAGATTATTGACTACTTTAATATGACAGTCTTTCAGTTTGACTTCCGACTATGTTCTGAAAAGTTCAGTCGTTTACTATATCTGCATGTTATTCTATCGTATTTACTCAGCATAAAACTCGTTTCAGGTTATTTTTTAAAGTGTAATCAATCATCACTGTAAAGGGAACCTGTTTATGAAGAGTTGTACTTTCTCACAAAATATATATCCTTCGTGGTAGTAGCCCAGGCTTGCTTATATCTGGTCGTCTCTGATTGCTGTGTTGGAAAAACGCTGATCACTTATACTTGGAACGAGGGACCTCTGAGATTCCCACGACCCAAAAGGAAGAACACTAAGACTGGTATAAGTGAAGATTTATTAGCCCTAAAACACTATGACGACGATGACCCTAGTCTAAAATACACTCATTTATATATTGATTGTACACCCATTTTTGATTAATAATTAGGATGAAATCACACATATGAAAAATACATAAAGTTATACATAAAGCATAGTTCATGTCAATGGAATACACGAATATCATATGTTTTGCAGAATAAAATATACAAGACAATAAAACAAATACTACATTGAGTAATCATTACATTGAATCAAAACAGAAATAGTCTTCGACAAAACTCATAATGAGTAAATCAATCGAAAATTGACTTTTCTTTCCATCATATCAGGCAGTCAGTTCGGTCAAGAGTTTTGAAGACATATTGTAGAGTACTTGCGTGCAGTCACACTTGGATTGTATTAAGTACTGCGTTAATATTTTCAAGTTGCATACCAAAGAGTACCTCATAACAATACGTAACTATCTAGCTGTGTATCCTTGATAAACCACTCTGACCGTTCCGATTTGTCATCCAAATAACTAAATATCAGTTTTATATTCAGCTAAAATGATCAAAACACAGATTTGTGAGTATTATAACTGAATCTTATTTGATAACCATGCTGCTTATTCGTATGAGGGTAAATAAATAGTTTTGATATACAACTAATTCAAGTTCATTTAGTCGTTTCTACTTCACTCTGTTGCTTATATTTCACTCGTGGAAATCATGAGTGGACCGATAACTCAGTGGTTAAAGCGTTCGAATTTCAGCCACTAACTCACGGGTTTGTAACCTGCTCCACTTTCGGTCTATACCGCCAGGTAATGTCACAAACCCTCACACTGATGTGACCCAAAACCAAGAATATGAATCTGTATCTGATGAACTAGTTAATAATAAAAATAGAAAGATAGTTATTAGTACATTTTATAATTCCTATAATTTTTTTAGCCTCATTCGTTGGCTTGAGTATAGCAAAAGAAATACTTGTGAATTATGTAATCATCGGTTTGCTTTCACTCGAATTTATGCATCTGACACTCCACGATTTCTGCCGCTCACCGTGTTGGCTGTGGGACTGGCCAACAGCTTGCGTCGATTTGTACTAAACTGGATTCACTTGTCGATTGTCTTCACTGCATGGTTGGTTGTAGTTCCTTTATCTGCCTGTCGCATGTACCGTTGTCTTTTTACTGGTAGCGTTTTCTCACTCCTCACACTTCCATTAGATATGGTTTCCACAAAACACTTGTTACAAGATTGTGTTCAGGTAGGTTCGAATTAATTGTTTACTTAGATATTTAGCTTCTATATTTTATATTTTTTATGCACCCCGTTATTTGTTGCACTCTTTAAAACTGAAATCCGATCTATGGAGTCTTTTAAGCATCTTTTAGCAATGACCGTTAAAAAATAATTTGGCTGGACGTTGCTAAAAAATAAAACCGTTTAGTTAAACAGCAAGTGTAGATTTTCATATCGAGTTTCACAGTCAAGAATGCTGGTGGTGGTCGTATATAGCCACGACCTGGATGCTGTTGTTTAATATGCTTACTGTAACGGCCTGATGGATCCATACTGACTGAATAACTAGTTTCTCGAGGTTCTATCATGCTAAATGAACCACTTCAAAAACCATGAAACTAAATTTGGCACATTTAAAGTTATGTGACAACACTACACTGCTAACTGCTTCGCGGTAAGATGTTCCATAAATAACCAAAGTCGTCAGCGATTCTGGTTTCCCACGTTGGTAATTAGCATTAGGAAAAATGGGTCCTAAAAATATCCCACCCTCTGCCTCACAGATTTCCAGTCTCAGTCATAACTGTTGAAAAGTATGTAATTAATTCAACATAAAGAATCACTCATACGAAGAGTGTAATCAACCTCAAACGAATGTTCCTGGAGCCAGTACACTTTCAACAATAATAAAGTTTATTTAGAAATCTTTAAACTGAATCTTCTTTCAGAGCATGAATTGCCAATATGTGTTAACCCCTTATACTCTTCAACAGTACTTGTTTTCAACTAGTTCGCTAGTAAACCCCTTCCTCCGCTCCATAATCATCTATTCCCGTCGCTAATCCTTCTCTGATTTTATATTTTTCCATATATCGTAATATTTTTAACAGACAACTTTAACATTCAAATGGGTAGTCCACGTCATACTGTAAAACATCCACATGGGTCTTCCTGCGTCCTGTTTCATAGAACAGATAACGATGACCGCCTTCTAATTCTGTACTCAGAAAATCGTCTATTCTTAACCATTGTCTACTCTTGGGATAAAAAAGATCGTAAGATCTGACAACTTTTAGAAACCTAATGATGAGCGGATATTATTATTATTATTATCAGCTTTATTCAATACTATATTTTTGGAACAATATAGAATTCTCAGCGTAAAGTATTTCAACAAGTTTCCATTTCTTTCTTCTTGGTCGGTCCTGGCGATAAATATTGAGTGATCGCCACTTAGATGTTAGCAGTTCACTGAATGAACATCTGAATAATGTGCATTCTTTTCGTTGTATATTGCCAGCAACCACATTGTATCTTATTGAATTTTTTGTAACTTTGACAGCGAAAGGTTGTACACTTTTCAGAAACGCAGCAGAATAGGTCATGCGATTAATAAACATAATGATATATTAAAACAAACAAAAATAGATAACTTGTCGAAATATCTAGATGGCAGAAACAAGTAGCTCAGATGCTCAAGCAGGCCGCTGTTGAAAAGGAAATTTATGGTTCTTAATCACATATGCAGACTCTAATGTGAGTGCGCGTTTGTCAACATTTTATTAGGCTCACAGTAATTTCAACGGGAAGTTGGAGAGCTCAGTTCGAAGATGTAAGGTGAAAATAAACTGGTATTTAATCGACCATGAAAGAGATGTTGATATGGAAGTATCATGACATAGTTAAATCTACAGCTAAGGAACGAAGTTGCCGTACTTTAATAGCATTAGAAACATCAATTACATGACTTTCGAAATTTATAGCCAGGTATCCCTTGTCTAATCAGCGTGAATGTGAAGACATAGAAGACATTAAGTTTTAGAATAACTGTATCACTCGTCAAAATTGATACAAGTTTTCATAAATCAACCATTCTTTGGTTTAAAACCGTTTAGGCACCGGGATTTTCAACCTAGGCGAGTTGTTGAGTTCGTTAATTATCGATATTAATTTAAGAGAAGACATGAGTCGTATAGAAATGAGACGGAAAAGAGACTGAAAGCAACATAAAATATGATAAGATAATCTTAGTTTTTGTAATTTCCAAGGTTTAGCATTTTAAGTGTGTGAATGGTATTCGTTTTTATGCTAGTGATTATCATTTACTGATTGAGGACTATAATACTATCCTAAGAGAAACAAGTGGAAATCATTTTTAATTTTTTTATTTAATTCACATAAGGATATATCTCCATGATGACCAGTCAATGAACTGCGTTCATACACCATTCTTTTCCCCAGGGCAGGGCCTATGTACATTTTTGGTTTGCAGTTAGCATTCTAAACCCCTCTACCTATACCAGCTTTAAACATCTATCGACAAGTTAAAGAGTTGAACATCCACTCTCATTTCCTTACTCTCTGTCTCCACACAATTTTTAATTGAACAAAGTCAATCTTAACTAACATTATATGTCACAGTATTGCCGGATGCAAACTTGTCTTTTTCTATTAATCTATTCATATCATTCCTTCTTTTCTATGTCCTTCGAAATATTCTCATTTTTCTTTTACGCGGTGAATTTTCTGAAATATTTCTTTTATACTATTAAGTTTCCTCTGCATTTATTTCTGCTATACGTAAATAAATAGATTTGAGAATATATATATATATATATATATATATATATATATATATATATATATATATTCAATAAATTACAGTGGTATAATATCTTACTTAATTTATTCATCTTAGGGTTTCATTATTGTAATCTTTGCATTGGCCGCATTTTTGGGTTATGTTTCATTGCGAGAACAACTTCTCCAAGGAACACCAGCATGGTTGGAACGTGATGCTCATGCAGGTATTTTCATTTTGTATCGTTTAGATGGAATTCAGTTTAATTTATCTCTGTATACAGTATTATTCTTCTCAAAATGGTTAAGGATGGATTTATTTTATTAAATCAGAATATAGGAATATTGCACTGTTACACTACCCTGGTTTTCTACAATTATGTCTAGCACTATTATAATGTTTGTGTATACTCATCGAAGTGCTTTAACAATTCAGTATTTTCAAAATACGTAAAAATTTTGTACCATTCGGCAACATAAAAGATCATTCACCACTTAATTTTATGCGTTATGAATTCAAAGTGGTTTGGAAGTGAAAGAGAGAGTTAAGGTAAATAATCAGTTTTGAAAATCACTTCGTTACAAACCGAAGGGATTACTATAATCCATAATTAGCTGTATGATGTGGAAAACATAAAGGACAATAAATATGGACATCATCTCATATCTACGTTTAAAATGTGGAACGCATGAATGGAAAAAGCTGAATTTAGACAGGTTAGTAAGCAAAGATTCCAAATCGGTTGATATAGTTGTGAATCTTCATCGTATGCCTAAATATCGCCTAATTTGATGCAACTTTTTAGCTGGCGTAGGAGTGGGTTAAAAGAAAATTAGGGGTGCCTAAATCAGGAATTGCCATCAGTCCATGAAGTCACTGACTATTTGTCTAAGTCATTTTTGTCGATTCAAACTACCTGGTTGAAGTCGTCATTAGAACCATCATCAGTAGAAACAAACGGACGGTATGTTTTAGAGTCAGTTTCAGTGGTACAGATGCATTCATTGTTTATCTTCCTCTTTATTTTAAATCCGAGTTTTCCTACATACATACCTTTTCATTCTGTCTTTTAAGACCATATTCTCAATTTTCAGTCTTTCTCATTGTCATTGCTATCAGATTATTTAAATCTCTTACTATTCATCTTGTTCTTTTCACCTCATTGTGTGAATGTATTCTGGCAACAAGAGCTAACGCTTATTTGTGCCAGGCTTCAAGTTGACTATGACTGATTGAATTACTGCACTATAGATAAATATTTACTAAGGTGAAGTGCATTAGTCGCAGTATATTTTAGATAAGAACTAATTAGCGTTATATTACTTTGATCCGACAATCAAAGTCATTTAAGAAAAATATATTCTCTAGAAAGTTTGTTAAGTTTTTTTCCATCCACATAGTTCCCTTTATTATTTTAAAGAGAGCAAGAACAAAGATTGGTGCAGAATAATATGAACTCATTTTATTTTGTTAGGTTCTCATCAGCAGCTCTTTTTAAGTTTTTTTTATTCACAACCAAATGATTTATCCAAGTTAATTTTAAAAAGCCTATAGTATAGTTATTTTACGTCTAACTCGTTCTTACTCTTAACACAAAATGTTACTAAAGAGTACATTATGTTTTAAAAAAAGTAAATTGAGGCTTATTAGTACAAACAACCTCAACTCACTAATAGATTTTAGCAACTTGAACCGACCTACATACGTACGAAGTTCTACGTTGTGACTGACTGACCTGTACATTAGTAAACTAGCACTCTACATGAAAGAAAGTTTAGCGTCACTGGATTTTCCATAATTAAAACTGGTCAGTAACTTTGCAATTTTTTTATTATATACAAGCATATATACAAGAATTCTTCATAACATAACAGCCTTATAATAAGAAATAAACCACTATATGGTATGTACTACTTGTGCGGACTGCTGTAAGTAGTATATATCAGGAATTGGGAGTAAAATTCTTGTAGACAGAAGAGGAAAATAAAGAGAAATGAAGGAAAAGCAGAATCAGTTCGAGTAGCGACAGTAGTGAAAGAACTATGGAACTTATAAGTGACAATTCAAGGAAAATGTCCAAATGATGTATTCAATGTCGTTTTCATATTTTACGAAGTACGTAATTTTGCTTAATAATATAAATTGCTTTACTCTAACCTAGTCTTCATTCAGGACAAGCATACAACTTTTTTATTAGCTAGTATTTTATCTTCAGTAGACAATTTTTATGTGAAGTTACATTTCAAACATGTATCAGATAATCCAAGCTGAACAACCACTGAAAATTTAGAATTATAAAACTATGTAGAGATTCGTTTTGAAAAAAAATTTAGACATTCAATATTTGTTTAGGTATTTTGTCAAAAATTTAAATGTAAATTTCTTCTGTGTTTCGATCACGAATTTATTTGTGAATTCCAGAAGCTCGTGGTGCTGATCCTCCCCATCCTCCTCGTCCTGCCGCTGGGGTCAATGGTAGGCGACCTCTATTTCCGGATATTTTCAATATTTTTGGTGTTGCAAATGGTGGTGGTTTAGGTGCTGCAGTTTTCGGTGAAGGCAACGAAGATCCTGTTGAACCTGAAATATTTAACAATGATGAACAGCATCATCAGACTGTTCAACAAGAATTAGTGAATTCTGAACATATCACGTGTTCCTCTTTAAATCAACAACAACCGGTGATTAACAGTGGTATCTCAGAAACGTTAGAGCCTTCACATGAATCGGCAGATACTGTAAATCGTGGATCATCATCTAATCCACAACAATTGGCTTGGTATATGGAAAATACAGGAGTTAATTTGGAGGGAGATATTCCTGACGAAGATGGTAGAGCCAATAACGATCCAGCAGATGCAGATGGTGCACCAGAAGCTATGAATTGGAAACATTTATTGGGTCTAGATGGATCTTTAAATTTTCTGGAACACGTTTTGTGGCTTATTGCTTTAAATACTTTGTTTATTGTCATATTTGGTAAGTTTCGTGGTGTAGTAAAAGTATAATCTAGGGTGTTTGTAGTCAACGTGATTTGTATTTGCACCGCTAATATTTTACCTACTAGTAGTATATCAATTAGATTTTCGTTGATTGGGATCTAATGTCAAGCAATTTTTGATGCTTACAGTAAAGCTATACAGAAAGAATGGTGTTAAATGCGTTTATTGGGTTTATACACTGTAACTACACAAAGCATGTCAAATAAAACTTGATCTCATTAATGAGATGGTAATTTGTAGCTCAGGTGGATGATTTAGGTGAATTTTTGTTCGCTGCGCTGGATGATTTGGTTGTGGAGCTTTCATTGTTCCTCTGAACAACATCAGCGCAAACTTCAAATAGAAGTGAAGTGTTCAAATTTCTCCATATATGACCCATAGCCTGTCCTGTGTACCTCGTTCTTGATTGGTCAACAATAACAAATCAAGACCGAGGTTTACAGGACAAGCGGTGAGTCATATGTGGAGAAATTTGAACACTTCACTTTTACCTGAAGTTTTTACTGATGTTGTTCAGAAGAATAATGAAAGCTCCACGACTAAACCATCCAGCTCAGTGAACGAAACTCCATCTAAATCCTTACATTGGGCTTAGGCTAACTGTACTGAGCAACAGTGGTAAATAAGAGCTGAATATGAAATATACTGAAAGAATTTATTTTTCAGCACTTATATATTAGCAGATAAATAAGTGATTTGATGAAGTGTCGGAGTTGATAACACTCTAACTTCGAGAAAGTTAATAATTACTCAATTCAAGTTGCCAGATAATCAGGACAGCGAGATGTAATCATCATGACAAATTTCAATGTAGTAGAAGTGGTAACAATATCGGTAGTAGTAGAAAACATTCGGCACGGACAATATAATCCAAAATGAGTTCGCGGAATAAAATGTATGAAATTTTGAAACCCATGTTATAAAAGAAGACAAAGAGCGAATTCTGTGTCATCGTGAAGGATTATGAGCCTTATCACCCAATGAATAATACGCTATTACTAATGGAAGGAAATTTTAAGATTGAAACAGTTCAAGTTTAAACAATTATTTGTTTCTGCTCGTTTATCTGCTTTCGTATTAAAATGAAACATTTTGTACTATGATTATTAATGCTGAGGTCATTAATGCAACCTATGCGTCAGTATTCTAACCCTGATGAGATGTATAATGTAGGTAAAGTAGTCAGTTTGTGTTCGAAACTAGGTTACTTGTTCTCAATGAAAATGAAGGGTCTGTTGTATGTCCCACTTCATCAAATAAAATGTAATTGTGACTGTGTTATAACTTGTGGCCTGTGTGCCCTGTTAATGTATAGCGTAATGATACCGCCTATTAGAGAGCAGTGACTTATCGATCGAACCAGTGAGGCATAAAACACGTACGAGCAGTCTAGAGTACCTATCGATCCTGATTCCTGCCTAACCCAGCCAGTGAAGTCGAGAACACCAATCTCAGCCTCTGAAATATGAATCACTTATTTCAAGCATAAGGGGTTTATATACCAATCAGACAGACCACATCGTACCATAAAATAGAAAACAACATTTGTAGAAGTTTTGGTCAAATGTGGCTGTGAATGTGGAAGGTAGTAATTAATAGACAGGACATAATTCAAGAATGGTAAATCGTATAATAATAGTTCATAGTTCAAAATAAAGCTCATAATAAAAGGGACATGAATATGTATAGTTTAGTTATTTAACAATTATACGATAAAAATATACGCATAGTATTGGTCCATAAATGGATCCCAAAAGTTACCATTCATTGTGCTTATCGGGGCATTACAAGCTGTAACACCACTTTCTGCATACTTTTGAATTTGATCTACAAAATTCCAGCTTTACCAACTGCATTTCTGGTCATTAATGTTTGAGGATAACCATCCTTTTTTAATGTTCAACAAAAATGTTATATCTAGTGCTGCACATAAGAGCATAATTTCCATTCAGGATTTCATTTTAACTACCTGAAGCTATCTGCATGTTTTCTACAAACAAGCGATTGTATCATCCAAATTTTCCGGATGAAAAAAAGCAAATAAAATGAAAGTTAGAACTTGAAATGAAATTCCCAGGGAAAAATATGCTTTTGCATGAAGCACTCACCCATTAAACGAATGGAAAATGTTTAATACCGCACACATATTGAGCATTGAAAAACTAAGCGTTACAAGTCCACAGATACGTATCATATTCCTTCATTGATGATAACTTTTGCTTAAGTTTTAATGACATTTATTAGCCAAGCTTTGTATATTTTTCATGTCACTGATTCACATATACTAAATTCATGATTGTTTATTATCATGACCATCGTGTAACTTGATTTTTTACCGGTTCTTTAATATCGTCATATGTGTACGCTTGATTTCCTCTTTTATTCTTCACTAACTGCATCATTTATCTATTTCATTTATAGCCTTTTGTCCATATCATATGGGTCAGTTTACTGTGTTGGGATTCAATTTGGAGCGTTTTGTAAGTGAATAGTTTTTTCCCTGTTTTGTTGTTAAAGCCAATCACAACTTATTATTATCAATTATCAACAAATATTTTAATTTATATGTAGATTAATGCAACTCACATGGAAGGGTTTAGTACAAGTTTAATTGGTTACATTATTTTCGCTTTTGCTTTGATTCTTATGCATGAAGTATTCGCTATCCTCAATATGCCTCGGTAAGATAAATTTTTGTATATATATATATATATATATATATATGCCTTTATTAATTAACTTATGTTGAATTGTTTTTTATTTTCTTAAAAAACTCCTGTCTTATACAGAAGTACTTTACGTTTATAAGGTTCGAAATACATGTCATACCTATAGACACCAATTGCCAACTATTTAAGTGTTACTTGCATATTATTTTTTTCGTCTTACTATAAGATAATATCACCCCCCTACTCAAGATTGAAGTCTTTCTCCAGATAAAAAATCCATGCCACTAGTTCTTACTTTGCAACAGAAAACTTATCAACAGCAAATTTGCATGGGAATTTTCAAATTCTTCACCCATCCCTCACCACACTGTCGGACTAGAACCATTGAAAGGAGCGATTGAATCCCTTCGCTCTGTTTAAGGTGGGTTCTTTACGACAGACTAGTTGTAGGAGCTACTACTAATAACAAATGATGGCGTAGGCATGTAGCCAAAATGTCATTCGAATTACTTAATAAGATAAGCTATTCAAACACATCTAACAATCTTTGTTAATCTTATTTCCTGCAATATTTAGATGTTATCATCTTACTCAGGATGAAATCATCCAACTTAATCCACAATAGAATTCAATATCTTAAGTGAAATTTAAAATTTAATCAAAAATTTGTCATCATTAACATTTTCGTGTAATCATCAAAATGCTGTTATAAGTTGTTTTAAAATCAATTTTTGATTCCATCTATTTTCCTATCACTGATAGTGTGTATGATGATACTTTTTTTCGGTTATTTGATCCGGTATCTAACATCTTATTAAAAATAACATGATGACGTTGATTCAGATTAGAATGCTGAGTCCTAATTTAATTTAATTTGTCATTAATTTGTGGATGTAAATCTTCACTAACTTGTCAAGTCAGAGAGGGTGCTGACATTAGAACTTAAAATAATTCTACGAAGCCAATTTGGATGTTGATTTGGTCACATGTAGGATTAATACCATTTATTTTCTTAAAATCCGTCACTAATCTTTTGATACATTTGTATGTATCAAGTCCAAACAAATGAGATAAGTTCACGTGGTGTGTTAATCAATTCATTTTTCGCCCTAGCTTTAAATGCATAGTATCGGTTTTTATTACATATTCGATTTAAAGACTAGCTGAATCTTGTTAAATACTCACAGATGACTAACTTTACTAAGATAAAGCAAAGTCATGTGTGCACTTGTAAATGTAACACTTACAAATAGGAAAATCTAAGAGCCCTAACATACAAAGGCTAAATTTTCAAACGAAATTAACATATTTTCCAAGTTCAATTATTAGTTACCTCAAAAATCAAAAATTTATAAAGTAACCTTATAAAAATGATTAATCTTTGTCAGTTAATTAGTTAATCATAAACAATGTATAACTTGAAACAAATGTACATCGTCTTGAATAGTCATACAACTTCAACACGTCAAGATAAATGTAATACCATGATGGTAGAAGTAAGTAGTATCAGCGGTAATAAAGGAAAAGTTAGGAATAGAGAATGTGTAGTTTGAGTAAAAGAAAGTTATTTGTACAATACAATATGTGAAATAATATTCGAAACTTAGGATTTTAGATTGTGGAAAGAATGAATGCATCAACGTCATGCAATCATTTATAAAGCTTGTCATTTAAATTCAATCCATCCAATCACTAATTAATTGGACCCCATAAATAAAAAAAATTATTTAATCGTGAATCAAAGCTTGTAGATGATAATCTTCTTTCGTTCAAAATGACAACAACATTTGATATCTGCTGGTGCTCACTGTCTCTTATTTCGGAAACGGAACTATTTAAAAAAACCTTTAAGTTTTATTTGGTAACTGAGATTTGATTTCATATCGCAGCATTTAATTGCTTAAATCCCTTCTTTACTATCTTACATTATCTGTACTCAATTTAATTTGCTTAGTTCTAAATAATAATCAATACTGTTCTCATAGTTACTATTATATGCTTAAAAGTTACTTATTATCAATACTTTTACAAATTATCGTTCGCACAGAGCTTGTTATTGGACTGGTCTTGGTTATATATACATCAAAGTTGCTTTGGTTTCTTTAATGGAATTGGGTATTTTCCCCATTTTGTCTGGATTTTGGATAGATGCTTGTACTTTGGTAAGTATACCTTACTTGTTGTCTATCCATCGACAAATTATTTCACTTATTATTTTTTACCAGTAAATGCTATGGTTGAATTTTGTCGTAGCCTTTAAGCAAATTTAGTGTAATATGGTCTTCAACGAATAATGAACACAAAGCATTTAAATTATAACTACTGATTTTGCATATTGAGCATAAAGATCCATGTTATCGGAAATGTTTTTTTTCAGTTATTGTTTTTTGTACTTAAGTTTTTTACGTGTGATTTTGAAATATCGTTTTAAATTCGAATGATTATCGCGATATTTGCAAAATACTTTGACACACTTTCTTAGTGTAAAATCTCAGTAGGTTGTTTCGTTATTTTGATGCGCCGTCAATTTTTTTATCTTATCAATCATTTGTAACGTTTAGACTCTATTTATATAAACGTTATATTCAAAAAACCGAAGTTCACTAAATCGATTGATGTAATCTATTCACCTAGTACGCATTCTTGTACTTGGCTTTGAGTCGCAATTTTCTCGTGAGTGGTTAGCGGTACTATTCAAATGCCCAAACTTTATCAAGTGGATTGGAAACCGAACCCTTGACCTAGTAGTTACAAGTTGAATGCCTCAGCCACTGAGTCACTGGTGCACAAAAAATCCACTAAGGCTGCTGCATTAATTTAAATTAGGGCCATTATCTCATTTGGTTTAAAAAAATCAGCAATATATAAACCATTACAATACCTTATGAGTAGAAATGCATGGTGGCTGACAGTGGGATCCAGGACGCGCGTTTCGCCCTTCTTTGGGACTCGTCGGCTGGATGTGCCTGTATCCCAGAGTCGATGTTCGCTCCGGGACTCAAACCTGGTACTGTTCGCTTCAAACTCCATCGCATTATTCATTTAGTCTACTGAGTTTATATAGACACTGGTTTGTGTAATGGCGTAAAATTTAATACTTTTTTATTGGTTGTTTGAATCTTATTAATGTTTAGGGTTGCAGTTGATCAATCCCCTTATTTCTTTCTGCCTAATTTTAAAGTAAATATTAAAGATCAATGTAAACTATGATTGAAACAAAACAAATATATGATCTATAGAACATTAATATAGTGTTTAATGAAATTTTAGGCAACAACCGTCAGTAACTTTCGGAGAGCATAGAAGACTAGTCAATTTCGACAGCTTTTTCAGGATTTTTTTTTGTTGCAAACTTTCTTAATGGACTCTAAATGCTATAGGAAGTGAAAGCAATATCTACTAAATGATCATAGATTTTAATTTGTTTAAAGAATAAAAGTAATCGAAAAGGCAACAATCTTAGTAGGCTAGTTTAAAGGTATCGAACTGACTAAATTTAATACTTTAATAGTTGAACGAGCGTAGAAAAAGACGGATTAGTATGTGACTCTCACACACACTTATGTATGACGTTCTTCTATATTTTGTCTAACTACCGACCCACAAATAAAGTTAATGAAGGGAAAAGTACAGCTCTTCCAAGAACAGCTCAACTAGTCTCCAGCTACTTTTCAGTTATGAATCTACAAACAGACAAAAATAGGCGATTGGTTCCCTTTATGAATTTAAATAAAGCAAGAACAAATCTTGATGCAGAATAGTATGAATTCGTATTATTTCGAGGTTTCTCTTCAGCTGCTTACAAACCAAAAAATGTGATAGAATTTTTACATTGAGATAGAGTGAAAACAAATGACATAGATGAGTGTAAATAACTGGGTTACAATAATAACTATATATATATATATGCTAGAACAGGTCAGAGGTCAAAAGGAATTAATTCGGGTTGGGTGGTGTAATAATGCAATTGAATAATCATAAGATAGGTTGCGTAATAATAATTAAATAGAATATGAAAAGTTAAGATAATTTAGGAGGATCAGATGGTGGAAATGCGTAAATAATAATGTGGTTTAAGAATTATGTAATAGGGGAGGAATATAAATATTTTAAAGTAAATAAAAATAAAATAATAATCATAATAAAGGGTTACCAGGGTAGTGATAAGCTAATTAACGTCTCTTTTTGAATGCATAAGTCAGGTTTAAGTTTTTTGATCATAATAGCTTCAGCAAAACGGAGGGTGGTCGTATTTCTTTGTCTATTGATAACTTTGAAAGTATGAGGAATGTCGATGGTGTGCCCGGTGTCAAGTAGATGTCGAGCTATTGCACTGTTGAAAGCCCTGGTCCCACGCAGCCTCAAGTTTTTTGGAACGTGCTCAGAATTCATACTATTCTGCATCAATATTTGTTCTTGCTTTATTTAAAAAATAGGCGAGTTAACATTGAACCTTTATCCCTTTATGAAGTTTAGATGGTTATTACGAACTCGAATTTCGTAAGATTTTATTTAAAACAGCCAATTATGCTAGGCTTTCCCTAAGAGACACAAGACTATTAATTGGATTGACTAAGGTGTCGGTTGTTATTTAAGGAATAGGATGCATCACATCGTGCTGTTCCGACTGTAGTGATAAGTTGAAGATACTTTAGTTGTATTTCTCATACTTTGAAAATATAAATATTTAAGCACATTTTTTTGTATTCATTCATATAGTCTCTTTTCAATGCGACGTTAACTCAACGAGCTAGTGTATTTCATTATGCACCAGTTGCTTTTACCTTTATTCATTGGGCAATTGGAATGTTGTACATATTTTATATGGCGTCTTTGCTTGTACTGGGTCGAAGTGTACTACGTCCTGGTGTTCTACGCTTCATATATCATTTTAATGATCCTGATTATAAGCCTATTCAAGATGTAAGCAAATATTTTATTGTATCGTATTGTTAAATAACCGTTATTACATTTGTTGTTATTTCTTTGTTTTACTTGCTACTGGATTCGTTTCATACTTACGTACATACACATGAACCATTGGTTTTAAATCCAAAGAAGCTCCTTTCGTTTACAGTTCAGTATGTAAAAACTGACTGCATTCTGTGCAAAAATATGTTTTTAAGTTATGCTTAGTCCTTCTTCAGTGATGATAAATTGTATACTTAAAGCAGTGAATCTAAATAGACTGTAAATATTTTAATATTATCATTATTAATATTATTACTTTTATGATTATCGGTATTAATGGATTTATCCCATATCATATTTTTGGTATAATATAGAATTCTCAGAACAAAGTATTTCAACAAGCTTATTTTATAAAACAAAACAGGAAACGATAATTGCATACATATATTCATAAATTTAGTTAATGCAGTACCTGGGGTTAGATGATATTTTTTTAGATTTAAATCTATTCAACTTTTTAATTGGAAACATGTTTAAGAATACAAGTTATTGATTAGCTCAGCTCTAACGACCTATTTCTCATACCATATATTTACTAGATAAGGTATCACAGAGCTCTTATATCTTTGCTTGCGTACATTGATTCTAATATATTGATGTTTCGTTCTACCAGAAGATATACGAGGAGAAAGATATGAATGAACTGGATGGTTAGTATATGATAGGATGACATCTGCCAGATTTCAGACATCTATCTACAAGTAGTACATGCATTATGGGATTCCATCAGCTTGTTTAGATGCTGTTCATATCTCAGTCTAAAGTTAACGGTGACATTTAAGAGGATTGAATGTGAGGCCATTAACAACAGACCATCGTTCAATAAGAGGCATTTCAAGGGGACGTAAACAGGTAGAAATCGGCATACATACAATGAGATCGTCCACATGTTTAAAAAAAGCGTTTTTTGTGGAAGATGGCAAATCATGCACAAAAAAAGAGGGAAGAGAACAGCTTCTTATGGCATACCTTCATGGTTCAGTAGAGACTTTGAACACTCTCCTCCGAATACAGTTTACTGTTCTCTTCCAGAGAGGTTGGAACACGGCCAGTTGATTATCCAGCTGTCGATGTTGACTCTGACTAACATTTAAAGTAGAAGTTGTTTTGGAATAGAATCGAAGGCAAAAGTATAATCTAGAAAAGCGCATCGGGCATACTTCTACACTTTTCCAAGCTGAACACTATATTATGATACAGAACAAAAACAGCATCTAAGGTGCTTGTTTTACATTTGTAAGCAAACTGATACGAATCAATGTGCTTTTTTGGTGCAGGTTCAATTGGGAGTAACAATAGTTTTTGCATTAGTTTTGAGAAAAAGTGAAATTATTGCTATAGGTCTAGATTTTACATCCTTATCGCCAGATACTTAGGTATTGGTATCGTCTTTATTTGCTCCACATTTTCTGTATGAGATTGGTTGATAAGGATTTGTCAAATATACTCATGAACATCAACACAGTTCTTAAAAAAGAGGTTTGGGATTTCATCAATTCCTAAACATTTGGAGAGTTAAGTGGCTGGAGAAATTTGCGGACATCACTTAGGGGGAAAATCGGAACATAAATATTCTTCAAACCTTTGTATATAATAAGCATGATATCAGATGATTGACGTACAAAAGACTTATTAGTGTCACAAACATTCAGCTGGTCATTGCTTCTAATGTGCCTCTCATCTGTAAGTTCTTTAAATAGTTTCTTCATACTTGAGTTTTTACAAGATAGGAGTTTCTGAGTAAATACAGAATCCAGACATTACATCTCTAGGTTTATTAAACTAGCTCTCAAAATTCAATAAAGTCTTTCTCGTTGTACATTCTATCTTTTACCCGCCATGATAGTTTCAGTTATGGAGATGTAAGTCGATCAAAAATTACACAAATAGTTCGAGTAGGACAATATATATCAAGACGGAATTTAAGATAACAAGTAATAACATGAATGAGTCATCTGTGAATAATCCCCAGTTAGTCGTACGAAAAATAATTTTCAGATCTTGAATTTTTTTCCGAGTAATTCTTGTATTTGATTTTCTTTGTCTTATGTAAGAGCTTACTATTTCTAAGCTTGTCATATAAGTAATGGGGCACGTTTACGGGTCACATATTTACTCACACATCAATGGGCATCCAAAGGAGTGGGAAAGTCTACTACATTTTAGTGAACTAGCGATAATAGAAATTATGATAATTTTAAGTATTCGAATTATTACCTAACTAGGAATTCCCAATTTAGTACAATTTACAGCAAGTTAAACTAGATGAGCACAAACGAATGTATTGTGTTTGGAATTCGAAATCAGCGGGCAATCAAGTACAAAAGAATCATTATTTCGCACAAATACCACAAATATACACTACACAAACACTTTAGGATAGGGAGGATGATCGGGTTTGTTCATACACTGCTTTTGAACTCATCGGAATATGACTAACATCTTCACGAGAGCTTAATTTAATGTCAACTATACGGGAATTCGCTCGACCTTGTGGATGCAGTATGGTCGTCCGTAATATAAATAATAGTAGTTCAGATGACCCGTGTTAATCCTGGGTGTATGCTTACCAGTGAAGATCCAGTTTTTGTGATAAACTTCTTCATATCCGTGTATGTTTTCTAACTTTGGTTCCAATGGAGATTGTTATTGTTACTCTGATCAAAGCACATCTGGATGTGTCCAAAGCTATGGGAGTATTTTTGTAGAGTGTTTCGCAACTTAGTGGCGTCAACTACACTATCTTGGCAGTTTCTGTCCAGGTGAGAAAGTCCGTCTGCCACTGCAGTTACCCGCGCAATTTCGATCAAGGGAGTGAATGTTTCCACATTTTAAGATGTTTGACTTCTTTTGCGGTTATCGTACCAGATGCTTACATTCAAACTCATGTTGAACGCCTTCAGCGATATTTGTTTTTTTGAAATACATTTTTGCACGTTTGTCACCTTAGCTTTCAGTAGTTGAATGTTTTCTGATGCATATCTCTACAGATACACGTGCATTGGCATTTACTATTTTTCCGTTGTTTTCATAGAGTTGTTACTTCGACTGCTACTAATTGAAGTAACCGTTTTGGTAAATTCACATAGGTACTGTAGTAGCGGTTCTGTTACTTGAGTTATTGTGCGCGTACAAGAAGACTCGTTTTCTCGTTGTATACCGATCATACTGGTTAAACTGGTCGTACAAAGTTATCGATGTAGTCGACCATTGTGTCTCTTTCCTGATGAAGATTATATGCATTGTGACAGCTGTAATAGATGGTTCTGTAAAATGTGTACCGATCTATCATCGGTCGCGTATAAGCGTCGCTGCAAACCAGATTTACTCACCCTGGTTATGTAGAGAAAATTGTCTAACCAAAGCGATCCTGGTAGATGCCTGTCAATGCGATGATTTTGACAAATTTCAGCAAAGCAGCTTTGAAATAACAGGTACCATACGAGAATGGATAATAAATTTCCTCTGTGACCTGAGGCAAGAAGTAAGGGTGTATAAGACACAATCTGAATGGAAACCCTCTAAAAGTGGGTGTATCTGAAGGCACCATATCAGATCGCCTACTTTCTCTCCCCTACGTTAATGAATTGCGAAGTCTGATCTGAACGTCGACCCTTGTTTGCAGTCGATATCAAAGACTAGAGAAGAAAGCATAGTGAGGTTAATAATCCTTATCAAATGTCATTACAGATGCCATGTCTTTTACCCTTCTCATTGTGTCGGTAAGATTTTCAACTGCACATAGAAGAAAATAGTATAGTGTGTAACAGCCCCTCTACTTGCTGCTTTACGACTAAGAGACACTCCTTTTAGCAATGAAAGATTAGGGTATATATATATATTGCGAAAATTAAAAAAAATTCACGCCAATCTGTAGCCATAATCAGTCTGTTACAAAAGAAGGACAACGCTAAAAAAAGGTGCATTATTTGTAAAGATGTGATTTACGATTTACTAAATCTGATGACATTTTTGGGTTACAGTGTCGCTTTCGGCATGAAAATCGTTGTAACCTTCATTCTCTCAAGCATACAGTTGTCTTTGATGAATAGTGGTGTATGAAAAGCAAGAAATACACTAAATAATAAGTAGCATAGTTACAAGCATCCCAAAATTCACATCCACACTGAGAAAGGTACATAAAATAATTTTAATCCACTGTCCAAGAATTAGGCATAACAATCATAACTTAATTCATTGAATAGTTAGTGACTTACAAATTAATTTCCTCCAACCCCATAAAACACGTTTATTTTACGACAATATTTTATAGTTAAGCATGTCGTTTTATGAGTTAGAAAAACTGCTCTCTGGTTAATAATCTTGTCTTTAGCTTGAAATCATTCACGGGTTCGCATTCAAGTATACGGTCTCGTGACCGGCCACTACTAGTCTACACTTCATATTATTGCATATCATCTATCGATCAGCATTCCCTTTTTCATTTTGACAATATAAAATTTCGTTCATTAAATTGTTAAAATCCTCCAATAATAAGTTCATTTGTTATTGGTACACTTTATTGTCACACAACACTTGATTTTACGGCATTAACTGAACTATATTGTTACTGTTGTGGCCTGTAGTTTGTCGAGGAATTGTAAAATAAATTTTATTTGTTGACAATAATCAATTTAATTAAGTTCGTATAAACTGAAGTGACGTAGTCTGTTGTCACACTATATTAAAATATACATGTACGTTCAAATTTATCCTTGTACAAATATCTACTGTCTTGTTTCCTTCATTTGTTTATCTCAAAAACTATTATTATTATTATTATTATTATTATTATTATTATTGACAACGGATTACACCATATTTTTATTTATTTTGTTTTGCTTGCAGATGATACTTCAACCATTACCACTATACATACAACGTTTGATTGCTACTTATGTAAGTGGTGAACACTTCTCCACTGTAAAATTATGTAATATCTATGGTCGTACTACTTATACTTAAGGTTGAACACCATTGTAATTTCTATGACTACAAATTAACAACATTAGTTGCCATATATTTTTTTTTGTTTTTGTTTTGTTTTAAATCATATAGTCAGTTTGGGGTATATTAATTGTACTCATGCTATGGTTACCTACAGAAGTTATTCGGCATTTCTTTCCTAAATTCTTGCCATTTCGTATTAATGCAGCTTAGTAAGTTTTGGAAAAAGCAGTAACTGTGCACAGTAATTTACTCTATTGTATTGTGTATGTGATTATAAATATTTTAGAAAAAAAATCGAAAGTCTGGTCTTTATATTCCAATTGTTTTTAAAGTGGAACAGTGGTGTTTAGTGGTTAAAGAGTTCACGTTTCAACCATCGGTTGTAAATTCGTGCCCTTTCTAATTTCATTTCCTTTTGGTAGCCTTTTTACTAGTTAATATACAGAACAGGTCGCAAACTTGAGTCTCACTCAACGTACTTTGCTTTACTCAGTTAGATATCATCACTGGCTCACAGAGAAGTACACAAATCCGTACATCATAAATGATTTATTTCATTATCACTTCCACCAGAGACATAATTGCTGACCCTCAGGGATTTTCAGCGATCGTTTAGTCTTCAGATCAATGAGTTGGCATCCAAAGGTTTATATTTCTAATTCTGATTGTATTGCAATATTGCACAGATATCTTCCAGTACTATTAATGGGCACCTGCCTCACACTTAAATCAGTTAAGCTCCATTATCCATAGCTTTTCAGTAGAACTTGGAGATTACCTCTGAAAATTTGTCATGACATGACTGTTTTTGTGTAAGAATTCTGTTGAACTGCATAGTTTACATCGTGGACCCACCTTAGTCAACCATTAAAAACCAGAAGACACTAGAAGGCTTTTCCATCCTATTATGGGACTGCTCAGTAGTCCTTATCTACCACCTCACCGAGGATCTGGCTCAACATCTTCAGTTCTCACACGAGCGCCTAACCTTTAGGTAGATCGACCAGAGTTAAATATGTGGACTATAGACTGTTCTCCGCAATGGTCCTGAATTTAGGCAGTCTCTGCATTATCTGGAGTTCCTATGTGTCCGATCTACTGTGGAGTCGCAGATGGATGCTGCTGAGTAGTTCAAAACTAAAACAGCAACTGTCCAGGTGTAGTGGACGCTACTCACTTGTAGGTAGTATGTAGTAGTCATCAAGCGGAGTGAAGAGTTTCTGTACATCGAAAGCTCAACGTAGGCACAACGCTTGATGACCAAACGAGATAGTTTGGATTTCAGAACACAGCAAGATTCTAATTGATGATCAAAGACTATGTATATGAATTATGTAAACACTTTTTAATTTCCAATGGTCAATTCTTTTCCCCTTTGTCCTGTTCCACACCAGTACTTCCTGGTTCAGAATGGTTGTCTTACCAAAATCATTTCGTGATGTAAATATTTCCCATCAAAGCCTTACGGTAAGAAATTATCTGAAAATGCCTAATAAAGAAATTGAAAGATTCATATAAACCTGTAAAACAAAAATTTGCTTTTTTGAAGAGCTTTAACACCTTAAATATTTTATAAGTATCAAGATTAAAAAATAACTAGTGAGTGCATAAAAAAGACACATTAAGTAACATATAGTTTACCTCTGAAATTTGGGTATAGTTGAATTATACATAGCTTATTGAAAATAAATATTGTCATATTTCGGTTATTAAATGAGTTCTCTGAATTTTGAAGTTTACCAAACGTAGGTCACCTAACAAAACAGTTGAATTTACTTATAAGAAATGTTTAATTTTTTTCAAATTTTACCTGTAATGGTTTAGATTACCCGATTGTTCGATGCCGGAGTCAACACCAACCCTAGGATGCAGGTACATCCAGCTTACAAGTCTCAAATAGGAAAAAAGGCACATCCTGAATTTCACTGCTAGCTGCATTCCATTTATTCTGTTTAATTTCTTTGTTAGGCTGATTCATTATTATTATTACATTTTTATCTTTTTCGTATATTCATGTTTTTCTTTGTATGCTTTTATTCAAGTGACAGTCCATTGGATTATTCATTGGAAATGATATTATTACAAGTTGTTCTACCATTCTTATTGGATAATCACGCTAAAACAACTCTTCGTCAGATTTTACGTTGGTGGTGTATATGTGTATCATGGTTGCTTGGTTTACGTAGTTACTTGCTCGGTGATATTCCATTTTCACCAGGGGTTAGTTAATTTTCATTATTCTTTTTATTTAAATGTTTGTATAAAAGAAAATGTACGCGTAGGATTTTAATGTGCCACCAACAAAATAAAATGATCACAGATAACAAAATAAATACTAGGCAGTGAAGTGATAAATGGCTACAGTGGTAGTACGTTTTACATTCTAAGGGTCGTAAATTATGGGTATTATTCAATGCTGCTGGTCATAAGTTTTGTTTATTTCTCTTTCTAATCATGTTAGAGTCAAATGATTCTAATTCTGTTGGTTGAACTCATTCTATGGATCCATAACGTAAACTGATATTTTGAGAATAATAGTTGAGGTATTGACTACTAGATTAAAATGTGGTCCCGCTATTTGGTAAATATCACTGTGTGAGAATCCATTGTCTCAATTATTAACATTGTCAGGAATGCCTTGGAAATTTTAGAGTTTTTCTCCACTTCTAAAATGTAGTCTTGTGTCGTTTTTAACCACTAGTCTGTGCTTGATGTATAGGAAAGGAGAGAGTTGTCTTGATCTAGGTTATGGCCTTGACGTGATAGGTTGCCTCATAATATCTTGAGACTTGTAACATGTGAGCTCGATTTGTATTTGGGTGAGATTGAGGGCACAGTAGAAAAACTTTGCTACTAGTAACGTATGAGTTGACTGGTTGGCAAGAAGAGAAAGACTACTTAGCTGGAACTCCCTCTCCGACTTATTCTTGATTCGATTAACTCAAAATAGGTATATGAATAAATACATAACTGACAGGACTGAAACCCACAATGAATGTGAAAAATACAATTCTATCCAAACTAGGGTATTAGAATTTAAAAAAGAACACAAAGATCACGTCTAAATTACTGCAATTTTGGAATAAAAATGAAAATAACGGTAATTTATGCATTACATGAAAGCATGTGATTCATAAAATACAACAAACATCTAATACTTTACATTTAATAATTTACAGATTCGAAATTCAGCGACACAATGTCAAAAAAATGTCCGTTGTTTGTAATCGCCTCTTTATTCCTCTCTTCAAAATAAATTGAATCGCTACTTTTTTCATAACAAAAGTTAACCAACATTTAACACAAGATGTCTTTTTAAGTATCCGAAAAACCCGTCAGCAATCCATCATCTCATCAAAGTGCATGCGATGTTCAATTATCTAGATTAACGTTTACATTACAGTTTAATCGATAGAATTCGATCAATAATATATATATATATATATTCTACGTAAGACTAATCGTATACAGTTCACTTCGTATTCCTGCTGGAAACAATTAGTGTCTTTGTTGCTGCTATGGAATATCGTGTACTTTAAGAACCAACATTTTCAAAAACTGATAACATAAGTTTGGGACCGTAAACAAATCAGTTAAAAATTAAACGATCAAATAATATATTATATTCTAACGAAGAATAAATATAGAGTAACTACCAGGAACTATTTATGAACTACTAATATATATATCCTTATTGTATGACTATTAATCAATTAGATTATTACTTACGGCTGTTACCCCTTGTGGAGTAGCGTAGGTCGCCCAACGGAACTCTCCATCAAACTCTGTCCTGGAAAATCCTTTCCAGTTGCTACTCGTCCTTTTGATATTTGCTTCTAACTCCCGACTCAGTGTGTTCTTTAGTCTTCCTCTTTTCCGTTTCCCTTTAGGATTCCAAGTTAGCACTTGTTTCGTGATTCAGTTTGATGATTTTCGCAACATATGTCCTATCCACTTCCATCATCTTTCCTTAACTTCCTCTTCAGCTAGAAGCTGGTGTTTCCTCTCCCACAGTAGGCTGTTGCTGATGGTATCCAGCCAACGGACAATGAGTATCTTGCGTAGACAACTGTTTATGACTACCTGTACTTTCTTGACGATGGTTGCGGTAGTTCTCCAAGTTTCAGCTCCGTACAGTAGAACTGTCTCCACATTCGTGTTGATGATTCTGATTTTGATGTTGGTTGACAGTTGTTTTGAGATCGGGATCTTTTTCAACTGTAGGAATGTCGCTCTCCCTTTGCCAAGCCTCACCTTTACATCTGCATCGGATCCTCCTTGTTTACAGATATTGTTCATATCGACATGTTAGTCATGAAAATGTAATGATCGTTTCAAATTAATTGGATGGGGTTAAAGTAATCGACCATAAATTATTTATTAGATACCAGCATATAATACACGGAATTGCATTTTGTCATATTCTTATTGTACGATTGATGTATGCTGTTTTTAACATCTCATTAATTTTAACGTTTAACAAAAATTCATTACAATTTATTAAAAATTTATTTATATCGTGAATTCATTGTGTAATCAGCATGAGTAACCTTGTCTTGTAGCAGCTTTACTTAATGTTTATTGGTTTAGGATTTTATTGTTACTGAAAATGGAACTGAAGTACCATACAAACAACGTCGAGATTCTCATAATCAAACATCTAATTTGAATAATCATTCGGGATTCATGTCTGTAGAATCGTCTCAACGGACATTGACTAATGAACCAGACGATATTTCGACAGATTTGTATGCTCCAAACTTATCATCGCCGTCATCATCTTATGGACAGATTACTTCAACAAATAATCGATTTCGTGAACAATCCCAACCTGAAAATAATGAACAAGATAACGTTAATCATGCAAATGCTGATTATGATAACGATGATGATACAGATTTTACTCGTTATGTTCCATATAAACGAGGAAATTTCTTCAAATTACGAATTACTGGCTTAATCCTAATATTAATTACTAGTTTGATATCTTTAAGTTTAACTGTACTAATTGTACCAGTTGGTATTGGACGTTTATTATTGTTGAATTTAAGCGGAAGTGGTTCTACATCAAAGCATGATGCTATCGCTTTAGTTGGTGGATTCACTGTTCTGGGAATAATTCTCCGTCTAGCTCCTTGGTAAGTTCTCTTCTCTGAGCATACCACTATATATAGGGTTCACGATTCAATACTTATTTTGGTTTTTTCTAGCATAATGTTTGTATAGTGATTGCCTAAATATGAGTATAAACTGACTATTTGATTTTAGTGTTATCAATATCTAACATTATAATGTTTACCTGAGATTAGACGCAGAGTATGAGGTTACTGTGAGAAATCATTTGAAAAGATAGTAAATCCTTATCAACTAAGATAGTTAAGACATCATATGCGTCTATCCACTGACTACATCGATGCACTTTGACGGCTACTGTATGTGTAAGTTAAAAGGAGGCTAAACTAAAGTATGGTATCAGTTCATGAAGACATTAGCTATTGGATAGGCCTAGACTACCTGGTTGCGACCAGCAAGATTATCATAACCAATGGTTAAAGACTCGTTGAAGTAGCTCAATATCGTTCTCGATGGCTCAAATCCATGCACTCTTCAGCTTCCTTTTATTCCTGAGTTTATAAATTCATCTAGTTTTGTTTTATTACCATTGTTAGTGTTATTACCTCTACTATTTTGAAATTTGCCCTGGACGATGTCACTTCATTGTGCGAATGTTTTGTGAACATTTGAACAGATGTACACATGTGTCAGCTTCTATGGTGCATTTAACTAACTGTATCATTCAATAAAAAAACTGAAATGATTTACTAAAGGATTTTTTTCTCTTTGTTTTCGATTTCAAAAGAAAAGTTTTAGTTCAGCAGTTATTAAATTAGTGATTATTGTCGTTTTAAAACTCCGATAGTTTGATTGGGAAATTTAGTTTCCCACTAAAAAGGTAACCTGTTAGACCTTTTAGCCACCAATGGAGTCACTGGATATATATATATAGCTTATGCGTAGCACACCCACCGACATTATCCATGGAACTCTGTCCTGGACAATCATTTTGATATCTGCTTCTAACTCCCGACTCAGTGTGTTCTTTAGTCTTCCTCTTTTCCGTTTCCCTTTAGGATTCCAAGTTAGCACTTGTTTCGTGATTCAGTTTGATGATTTTCGCAACATATGTCCTATCCACTTCCATCATCTTTCCTTAACTTCCTCTTCAGCTAGAAGCTGGTTTTTCCTCTCCCACAGTAGGCTGTTGCTGATGGTATCCAGCCAACGGACAATGAGTATCTTGCGTAGACAACTGTTTATGACTACCTGTACTTTCTTGACGATGGTTGCGGTAGTTCTCCAAGTTTCAGCTCCGTACAGTAGAACTGTCTCCACATTCGTGTTGACGATTCTGATTTTGATGTTGGTTGACAGTTGTTTTGAGATCGGGATCTTTTTCAACTGTAGGAATGTCGCTCTCCCTTTGCCAAGCCTCACCTTTACATCTGCATCGGATCCTCCTTGTTTACAGATGATGCTGTGCACCTGTTCCAGAGCTCCTTCATCAAGTATGATTGGTTTGGTGTTCTCTGTGTTCATTTTCAATATCTTGCTTTTTCCCTTGTGTATGTTGAGGCCTACTGATGCAGAGGCTTCTGCTACACTGTCTGTCTTCACCTGAATTTGTTCGTGTGTATAAGATAGAAGAGCTATGTCGTCTGCGAAATCCAAATCGTCTGGCTGCATCCAAGCTGTCTATTGTATTCCATGCTTACCCCAGATATAGAGGTCTTCATAATCCAGTCGACCACTAGAAGAAAGAGAAAGGGGAGACTAAGCATCTTGTCTGATTCCGTTCTTTACTTGTAATATAGCTGTACTGTACTTTGAACAAATATCTGACCAATCATTTGAAATTTTTACGAATCGTGGAAATGATGTTAATATTTTATTCATATAAACACACTGAGTGTCACTTGAATCACTTACTTACTTACGCCTGTTACTCTCAATGAAGGATAAGCCGCTGACCAGCATTCTCCAACACATTTTGTCATTGGCCTTCCTTTCTAGTCCTATCCAATTTTTGTTCATACTTCTCATGTCTGTCTCCACTTCTCGGCGTTACGCGTCCTTTGTTCTTCCTCTTTTGCTTTGGCCTTGAGTATTCCAGGTTAGGCCTTACCTTTTGATGTAGTTGGACGCTTTACTAAATGTGTGTCCTATCCACTTCCTGATTTCTTCCTCCGCTGAAATCATGTTTGTTGTCTCTAACGTCAGGTTGTTGTTGATAGTGTCTAGCCAACAGATCCGAAGTATTTAGCCTAGACAACTGTTAATAAACACTTGTATATTCTGGATGATTGTTTTCGTAGTTCTTCAAGTTTCCGCCCCCATACAGTGGAACTGTCGTGACATTTGTGTTGAAAATTCTGACCTTGGTGTTGGTTGACAGTTGTTTCGAGTTCCTGATGTTCTTCAATTTTAGATATGCTGTTCCTGCTCTGCCGACCCGCCCCTTCACATCTGTATCAGGTGCACCGTGTCCATCAATGATACTGCCCCGGATATGTAAAGGTCTTTACATATTCCAAAGCTTCTCCGTCAAGTGTGATTTAATTCATGCATGCTGTGTTGTATCGGAGAATCTTGATTTTCCCATTGTGTATTTTGACGTTTCCATGATCCAGTCGACCAGCAGGAGAGAGAGGAAGGGTGAGATTAAGCAACTTTGCCTGACACCAGTCTCTACTTCGAACGAGTCTGTTAGCTGTCCTCCATGCATGATTTTGCAGTTTGATCCATCATAGGAATTCCGCATGATATTGACTATTTTCTCAAGCACTCCATAGTGTTGTTCTGTCCACGCTATCCAATGCTTTCTCGTAGTCAATGGAGTTGAAGTAGAGTGATGGGTTCCATTCAATTGATTGTTCCACAATGGCCCGTAGTGTTGGGATTTGGTAAGTACATGATCGGTATTCACGGAATCCAGTCTGTTGGTCTCAAAGTTGGTAGTCTACGGAGTACCTTATTTTTGTCTAATAACACCCTGTTGAAGTCTTTTCCTGGTATTGAGAGAAAAGTGATGCTTCTGTAGTCTCCCATCAGAATGGTCAAGGCTTTTGTTAGGCAGTTATCAACTTCATCAAAAAGCACCAACGGTACACAGCATCAGAACCCAAGTCAAGCACAAAAATCAACAAAAGGATCACCCTACAAGGAATATCAGAAACCGCAACGAGACTACTGAAAACCTTCGGAATAGGTGTGGCACACAAACCAACAAAATCACTACAATCAATCTTATGCAAACCAAAAGATGAAATAACAAAGGAAAACAAATCAAACATCATCTACAAAATAAATTGTACTAACTGCGACAAATACTACATGAACATCAATTAGCAGTCAAACGCCATGATATCTCTTCACTTATATCAATACACGTAAATAACTACGGACACTCATTCGATTGGGAAAATATAGAAATCTTAGACAGAGGAAACTCCGAAAACACCAGAGAATTTCTAGAAGTTTGGCACTCAGGTCAATCAACAAACATATTGAAATCAATCCAACTTATCAACCAATCAGGGAAATCATGTATAAATATAGTAACAAAAATCAAACCAAAGGGAGACACAACCAAAACAAAGAGGTAAACAATGATAAATTTAAGGTCAACAAGAACTAATCCACATCGAGGTGCACAGAACAAGCTGTGAAACACAAATAGACAAATTCGAACACTTCACTTCTATATGAAGTTTGTGCTGATGATGTCGTTCAGAAGAACGATGAAAGCTCCACGACCAAACCATCCAGCTCAGAGAACAAAACTCCACCAAAATCATCCACCTGAGCTACTAATCTCCATTATCTTTAACGTCTTCATTGTAGTCTTTGACAGGCGCATAGCATTGGATGACGTTCATTGTAATGCCCTCTTTCTTTGTTTCAAAAGAAGCTTTGATGATCCTGGGTCTATGAGATTCCCATCCTATAAGTGCTTTTTGTGCTTGTTTGGATAGTGCCAGTGCAACTCCTTGTTCATGTGGGACATTCTCTTCTTCATGACCGGAGTATAACAACAGCTCTCCAGAAGCTAATCTTTGTTGTCCAACCTGCGTCCGATGTGTTTCATTGATTCCAAGCACCTCCAGGTTGTATCTTTTCATTTCTGCAGCAATCAGGATGACTCTCCCGGTCTCCCACATTGTACGAGAATTCCATGTAGCTAAATTAATTGTTGCTTTAGTTGTCAGAAGAGGCATCAGCTTCGTGACTTTCGACGGAACTCGGTTTTCACCACGAGGCGTCATAACTCTTCTGAATGAAGACCTAACTCCCAGGGCAGAATTTAAGTGGTTTGAATTAGTTTTTCTGGATGACGTTTTTTCAGCGAGTTAGTTTTCTACGGGATGGTATCGCTAACCCTATGCCCAACCATCCTACGGCAGTAGCCCCAGAAGGGCTCCAGGTGGAGTTCACTTGAATCACTGCACAGTATATTTTAATCTTATTGTTCGTGTTTTTTAAAATTCTTTCAATGTATCTACGTATATCGTACTTACGTTTCAGCATACCACATCTTTTCAATGGAATTTATCGAATTATTATGTTGATTGGTCAAAGTGGTAGTTTAATTAGCTGGTCTAGACCATTACGTGTATTTAGAATTTGGACTCGTTTAGGTACAACATGTGAAATTACAATACGACGACCAGCATTACCAATGGCTCCTATGATTGATTTAAATCGACATTATGGATTTCAATCTACTGTGGATATGAATATTGGGATATATCTACAAAATTATCTACGAATATTAATAAATTGGTTACGTCTATTTTGTATTGCTGTAATATGTCTGGGCATTCTCCCAACAGCTTTAGGATTATTAATCAACTTCATTTTCATTGTACCCTTCCGTATTGGACCCAAAAAAACCATTATTGTTGGGTTTTGGGAGGTTTGTTTTTATTATTATTATTATTGTCTAACTGAAAACTTTTTCAAATGTTTACGTTACATACGTTACATACTCTTTTCAAAATATGCGTAATACTACTTTTTCAGATCTGGTATCTAGTCCCAATCCACAGATATAATAAGTAAAATCCACCTTTTTGCAAATAATTTGAAATTTTACATCAAATTGTAGTACTAATTTAATTTGTATATTTGCAAACCTCATCATAGGTAAATGATTTCTAAACTTAAACATTCGTTTTCACATCTTGATAGTTATTCAATCCAAAGAAATTCTTTGACGGAACTATCTTTACGTGGGTTTGTGAAGATTGCTGAATCTAATAGTGTACATCCTGGACTTACCTTGATTAGACAACAGTGTTAGTTCGTCATCTAGACCATAAATTTCAGAAAATTCCACAAACCCCGTTTGCCAATAATGGCCATGTGTCAGTAGGGACTAAATATATTATTTAATTTAGAGAGAATACTTGACCAGTAGAGTTCAACCATGTCGGGTGTCATTGAAAGTTAATTGGGCAATACCTCGAATTTATTGAAGGTAGTTTTCAACATATATCTATTTACAATAATAGACTTAGTTTAGCTACCGATTAGTTGTAATCATTTTCTCTATTCTTTCAATCTTTATAGCATTGGATATTTGGTATTATGCATTTAAAAGTGGTTATCTTACTTACTCTTCTTGGACCGCCATGGTGGTTACGAAATCGTTTAGAATTATTTCATGATGAAATGACACATCATCGACAAGATGCTCGTTGTATGCGTTTACTTTGGGCAATCGCACCATTGCTTGTAACTATTGGATTATCGTTAAGTGTACCATATTTATTGGCTTATTATATTAGTCCATTAATCGGTAAGATTTTTACCTAGCTGTGTAACTTTCAAGAATCCTGATTGTTTATTTATTGTGTTGATTGCTTTTAAAGTACATATATTCACTGGTTGGTCTATACTAAACATCTATTTGTTTAATAAATAAGAACTTTCGTCTAAATTTGAACGAATAGTTTAACAATATTTGAGCGCCGAGTTTATGCGAGACATTAAAGTGGAAGAATGTTTTTGTAAAATCTCAGCGAAAGAATTTGAAGTAAATCCAACGTTTCACCTGATAATCTGGTCCAAGGTTTTTCAAAGTGATCAAGAAGTTGCTAAGTTGCGTAATGTAAGAAACAAAGAAGGAACAGAATTTTAACGGATGGTCAATAGGATGGTAGTTACGTAAGAATCAAGAGATAAATGTTGAGAAGTTATTAAGTTCCACATATTTCCATTTATCGGTTGTACTGTTACTGATAGGAAAACATATAGCTTAAAGCGAAATATTGAGAATACAAGCTATATTTTGATTAATTTTTCTTTAGCATTGTTAGCTAGGTAACCGTGTTTCTACGGCTTCTGATTATCGAATTGAATCTTATATTTCCAATGTATATATGTATTTATGTATCACTATTACCTACGTAATAATAATTTCTTATTGACTTGTTTATTTCCCTACAGCATTAGATAGCGAAGTTGCATTTCGATACATATATCCATTTCTTTTCGCCATGTTCATCTGTTCAGTGTTATTGATTCTGTGTATCGACCAAATTCGACGTCTTTATTTGCATATTAAAGATGAAAAGTAGGTTTGTAGTAAAAGTCTTATTATTCTGTGTAGTCGATCATTTAAAACATAAAATATTTGTTCAATAAATAGGCAAAATAATGAGGTCATACATAGTAACTTCACATTTTCCTCTTCCTTTGTGACTACAATCTTGATTTCCGATTATTTCTGAACACCCTCAGAAGTTAAACATTTCTAGTGAGTACAGTGACTGTTATTTACGTACCTGCAGATGGAATTAATGGTCTCTGTGAGTGGAACATAAGTGAATAATGGTTCGACATCCAGAGATAGCATAATTTTGTCATTTATACTCACTTCTTTTATGTGCTCAATAAATTCAGGAGTATCACGTATGGAGTGATTACAAATGTGTTTTCTGATGGGTTCTAAGAGATTTGTCAGCCACTTTGTGATAAAATGGTAAGGAGATCCTGACATATCGAGAATAGGTCTGAGAGGTAGGACAGGTTTGTGTATTTTTTGGCATACCATATAGTCGCTGTAATAATGATCCTGTTGGTTTTATTCGCTCAAAGACATGTCCTTCAATTAACTTATCATTTTTCATTCTTTCAAGAACTTCAATTAGTTGTTTTTCTATAACTTGTCTTGTTTTTCTCATTGATTGGTTTTGAGAATTTGGTGTCATCTGCTAACAGCGTTGTCATTTTTTCAACATAATTATTGCGGTTTAGCAGCACTAAACCAGCACCTTCAACTGGACGTGTTATGATCAATTCTTTATTAGTTCTAAGTAGTTTTAGGTGATTTCTATGTTCTTTCGTTAGAAGACTTTTGTGCTAATATATTGGTTGCAGCTATCGAGAAGAGTAGATTTGAAACGTTGGAATTCTTGGTCAAAGACTGGATTAAGACTATTAGATTAAATTCTCGAACTGAACATGTGAGGATTTTATTAATTTTTTTATTTCATCTTTAATGTACTATCACAACTAAAAACTGAACAGATTTAAAATAAAGAAATTTCAATGAAGGATATGTTTGTTTTCAACGAAATTATTTAATTTAGCTATAAATCCATGATCAAAGAGGTTAGAGAACAGTAGCAGGATGAAAATAATTTACGGGACAGATATGAAGACAAAACTGATGTTGATTTCGTCGTTTTTTTTAGTTTTATTCAATGACAAAATAGATTGAAGTTTGAACCTATTACACACATGAAATATGTAAACGTGCATAGATCCCTTTTTGAAGCTCATTTTAAGCTGTATATATTAAAATCTTCAAATTTTTAAAAAAATAAATTTTTAGATATTTAGTTGGAAAACAACTGCTAAATTTTCGACCATCACCAAGTCAATCATTAGTTCCAGCATCATCATCATGACTATCCAATTGCCAGTTAGTTAATTTGGACATACACTACTAATTCACATTGTCTAGACATGTAAAGATCATCACTTGGTATTTTTTGGAAAGAATCCCGCAACTTCACGTCTGGAACAACATTTTTTTCGTACTCACTAATGATATTTTCTGTTTCTAACAACCCAACATTTTTAAAGAATATCGCTGTTAGAGTATTATTTTGCATATACAATAAATATACACCTCCCCAACTCGGGCACACAAACAAGTACACTAATCAATGATCTTTGATTTATTCTGTATTTAAAATATTTTCTCGAAAAAAACAAACAAACGCGACTAGACAATATTTATAAAAATACATTTTTCTTATATCAATTTTCTCGTGCTTTTTGTTTTCACTTGAATATGCTTTTAAAAATAAAAAGAAACAAAGAAGGTTAAGAATGATAGAAAATTAATGACAGATGCATAATATGAGCTGTACCAAACAGCTAAAAAATGGGTCAATACAAACCGCATACGCTCTGAGAAAATACATTTTTCTATTAATGTGTACACTGTTACTACTATAAAGTATATATAATATAACATTTGTACATTACTATTAAATAATATTGTACCAGAAATGTATGTTGATGCATGAGTGGAATGGAATAATCTATTCTGTTTTTTAACTACTGTGTAAGACAAGTATACTTGTTTGATGATCCATTTTGTTTTGTACGGACTTGACTTATACACGTACGCTAGTTTTGTATCTACTAGTATGTAGATAGTCATACTGTTTCACTAATGTGTCAAACAATTAGGATAAGAACTGTTACATCATAATACACTTCGGAAATTCCGACTGCTCAAAAAAATCATGATGCAGACCTGAAGACCGCAAAATAAACAATTCTACCCCTCTCTATTGGACCAGAACTTATACTAATAGATATGTAATTTCAATGGTTGAGATCACGAGTCAGTTGAAGCTAGACCACCATGAAAAACCTAGAAGCACCGGAGGGCCGTTTCGTCCTATTGTGGAACTCCTCAGCGGTGCGCATCCACGACCTCATCTTGCGAGATTCGAACCAGGGACCTACCAGTCTCGCGCGCTTAGGAGTCCCACAATAGGATGAAACGGCCGTCCAGTGCTTCTAAGTTTTTCATGATGGTCTAGCTTCAACTGACTCATGATTTCAACTACTGAAATTACTACAACCTCCACAAAACCTGATATGGATCAACATATGCTCACTAGTGACAGGCTTCAAGAGGTATTTCCTTGAGTTCTAGTGAAAAGCAGTAACCAGTGGAGTTTAACCGGGTCTATTGTGAGATAGTAACTGACTGAAGACATTGGTGAATGTGTCGCTCAATTTAGTGGATTGGTTGAATTGAATCATTACTACCGTTGGATGCCGGCTCAGCGGTCAAGTGGTTAGGCGCTCGCGCGCGCGACTGATAGGTCCTGGGTCAGAATCCCGCAAGGCGGGGTCGTGGAAGCGCATTGCCGAGGAGTCCCACGATAGGACGAAACGGCCGTCCAGGTTTTTCATGGTGGTCTAGCTTCAATTGACTCATGATCTCAACCATTGAAATTATAATAATATCCACAAAACCCTTCCGATATAAACTCGTATTCACCGGTAACTTATTCCAGAAGTTCTATAACGAAGCCGCGACCAGATGAGATCAGCTATGCCGAATATGAAACAAGGCTTATATGCATTACTGGATGATAATCGTGAATCGTCGGAAATCAGAAATAAATATCATTAGATACCAACTCAGTGGGTTGACGATTACGGAGTTGTGCATACGTATTGTTACAGCAATATGACATCAGTCTATGATGTAAAACATCGAAATTTAACAATCTCCACAAACATCTTACGATGAACTTAATAATTCTGATAACAATTGTTTCTTAGCGGCTGAAAACGACTCAACTTTCAACTAGCAGATTTTATGTTCGAATCACAGCCGGATAGTAAGTAGCCATACTCACTCGTCATTTGCACACAAACAGTTTGGCTTAAAGTTCAGTACAAAAACTATATAAATGAACAAATGATACTAGTTCACAAAGACATCATTTATTTTTGTGAACTTATGAATAAGATTGTTGACTAGAATATTTTCATATATGTATGCATGAAATAGAGAAATCCATATTAATAATAACTATATATATATATATATATATATAATGATGATGAGTGAAATTTATTTACCGTATTCATAAGCATCTTGACAGCTTCATCTTCTGCTGGATCTGAAACACGAATGAAATGTGTTCCTGGACACCAGTTTACAAAGCGACGTGACTAAATTTTTTAAATAAAACAGTACTAGTTTAGTATATATCATTTTACAAATGTCATCTATAATCATATCTTAAATAAAATGAATTATGATTAAAAATACTCTAGGTCCTATCAAAATGTGAAACTTAATTGTATGGCGCTATAAAATGGTAAATCGGTAGTGGATATTCATCGTTGAATTGGCTAGGATATGTGTTACGTATGTGCAATCGCATTCTGTCACAATGAACAATGTTGATTGACATAGAAGTAGGATGAAAGAAATCTAAATGTGCCCAAAGCTAGACGTAACGCCAGCTCATGAAAGCACAAACTGTTCGGTTGAGCCATGTCCGTAAATACGGAGTGTGGTTGCAGTCTGCACAGTAATTGTGACCAATATTTATAGATCTTAAAAGAAATCGTCCAGAATCAGTCACAATTGAACACACGCACTCAACTTATCTTGCATTAAATTTTGAGTTTCGAAATCATGCCATACTTTATATTCCGTAAAATTATTCTCCCAATATCAGGTTGGCTATACCTAGTGTTTTTTACTCCTACTACTGATATTGTTAGTACTACAATTAATATAGTCTGGCATTTGTCTTGATCATTCCGTCTGGTTGTGCGGTAACGTGAACCGACTCACAAACGCGCTATACCTTACACCACATTTGACTGACCGGAAATATTAAGAATAGGATAGATGGATCAAACAATAAAATAGATTACCGAGAATTTGTCCAAGTTTACCAACATTATATTGATACAAAGCGAACTGTTATCGTAAGAGTTGGCTGAAAGAAAAGTATGAGCGGCCAAATAAAATGGTATCACTGAGACCTGGACTGGCCCGTGTTAACATGTGTAGATGATCTGGTTGGGGTCCGCATGATTATCCTAACCAGTGGTCAGAGACTGAATGACATGGCTCAAAATCGTTTGCAATGACGCAGGTCCATATACCGTTGCTGCTACCCTTAAGTTGTCGTCGGACTTGCCTATCGTAATGAACCAATCGGGCTATATTGGCTGGGACAATCGTTCATAAGGTCCTACCATGCCAGACAAGTCGGTTGAAGAGCGGTAAGACTAAAAGCAGTAAACCCAATGTACGAGGGCGAAATCGTACTTCTTACTGTATAGAGGTGCGACGGCAGTATGGTGATTCCTTCAGAAAACCAGCATCACAGCGATGCTGCCTTCCTACAATGAGGGGTGAGGTTAGAAAAGGTCGGCCCTAGAAATGCACACCTCAACTTATCCCACGGATATCCGTCTCCGGTGGTAAGGTATCAACAAGTACGGAGCTAACACGAAAACTACTCGTGAAAATGTCATGTGTCCGGCCTCAAGTATTTGCCCCCTGGGCATCGTGGTTGTGCTCTCAGGTCACTAAGATAACCCCTTCTCAGGTACCTCCAGAAGAACCCTTCCACGGTGTGGGCAACCGGGAAGTGATAACTGCCCTCATACCTCTAGCAGCACTCAAGATCATTGTATTCATACTCAGTGTCCCTCCTCACTTTCTATTATTCCTCCTACCTCAACTTTCAACTCGAAACTTCCTTCGCAAGTGTCACCATGGCCAACGACTCTAGTGCGTAAAACGCTGCCCCAGGTCTACTGAAACCGCTCCAAACTACACATTGAATCCTTCAACGTACGCACCCTCTTTGGCTGAAACCCTAGAATCTCATACTATTGATGTATGCTATGTCTCCGAAACACACATACAGGGTGCTAGTGTGGTCATACACTTGACCTCACCTTGCCAAAACGGGGAGCCGACGAGAAACACCCTCCGTATATCTGGCGACCCGATGGCTAGTTCTCGTGGACTGGCGGGTGTAGACGTAGCACTGAGTACGAGGGCAGAACAAGCACCATTAGAATGGATCCCCGTTAACAGTCATCTGAGTGTTGTTCAGCTGAACGGCTCCTTAAGACCTCGAAAGGATAGGGATATGTTGTTGTCTTTTCGTCGTTTCTGCCTACGCTCCCACTGACAGTAGTCCGGATGAAGTGACGGATGAGTTTTACGGAAAGCTTTCTGTACTTCATAAAGCTAAACGTTCAAACGTAGTACTCGTAGCAGGTGACCTTAATGCCCAGGTAGGTAGCTTAAACAAAACGGAAAGGCATTTAGGTGAGTATTTTAGTATACCGGCACAACGAACAGATAATGGTGATCGTCTGCTGCAACTATGCTCAGACAATCGTTTATTTTTAACAAACACTAATTTTAAGCATAAGGAGAGACATCGTCTAACATAGCGACCGCCTGCACCAAGCCAACGATAAACTCAAATAAACCATATTACCATCAGTCATCGTCGGAGTGGCTCGATAGAAGACTCGCTTGTTCTCAAATACCTGTTTGGACACCGATCATGCTCTAATACGAGCCCGCATTTGCTTGCTCCTCACTGGATTCAGAAAAACCACATTAGGGTTGGACTCAGTGACGAAGTGACAAAAGTAGATTCCATGAACAACTGAGGTCGCACTTTGATAGTTCTGAAAACGTGGCTGACCCATATATTGCTTAGAAAGATATACGAACAGCTGTTGAAACAGCAGTGACATCTATTAGTGATTTGAACCAAACGGTCACGAAAAGCCAATGGATTTCTACTAAGTCTATTGCACTGATGGATTCTCGTAAACACTCCATCAAGCTCTGGACTCGATAAAGAACGAAAACAAATCAGATATAGGTTAACCAAAAGTCTAAGGAATGACCGTGAGCAGTGGTGGGCAGCGAAAGCAAGAGATAGAAAAGGCAGCCGCTGTAGGTAACGCCAAACATTGATCCAGACTAATAAAAGAAACTGGAATTAATTAATCAAGTTTAAGTGAGGCGATCTCGGAAAAAGACGACACTCTTATCTGCTCTCAGTCCAGACGTTTAGAACGATGGGCGGAACATTTTAAGAAGCAGTTCAGCTGGCCTTCAACTACTCTACAAATACACACCATACCCAAACAGCCTGAATGGAACATTGAAGTAGGTCCCCCGATTCCAATCCGAAGTCGAGAAAGAGCAGATGGATTGGTTCCAGTGGTATTTAATTATAGTGGTCCAGTTTTAGCGATTAGGTTAACTAATATTTGAGTTAAAATCTGGGAGTTAGACGTAATCCCATCTGACTGGACGCAATCACTGATTGTCCCAATATATAAGGGGTCAAAATCCCCGTGTGATAACCATAGAGGGATTGGTTTGACTAAAATAGCATCTAAAATACCAGGCTCAATAATTATTGGGCACCTAACAAAGACTCGTGTACTGCAAACACGAAAAAATCAGGTAGGCTTCAGACCTGGTCGTGGCTGCATCGACCACATATTCACCATTCGTCAGGTTTTAGAACACAAGCATGCTTATCGACGTCCGACAACGATGGTTTTTCTTGAATTAAAAACAGCATTTGACTCTGTAGACTGAGAGCTTCTGTGATACCCTGTCATTGAAAGGCGTACCTCAGAAGTACATAAACCGTACCTACGGACACCGATTACCAACTGATTAAGTGTGGATTGCATGGCTTGGGAATTATCACTCAGTAAGACAATATCATCCGCATACTCAAGGTCGAGAAGTCTTTCTTCAGGCAACAGATTCACACCGCCATTACTTGCATCCATCAGAACTGTTTCCAGAGTGTCGTCGATGGCGAAGTTGAAGAGGAATCGTGAGATTGGGCAACCCTGCCTAACCCCACTGCTCGAATGGAACAATGGAGAAAGGTGGTTGTATGCCCTCACTCTGCCTGGGGTGTTTGTATATAGGGCCTTTAGGATGTTAATAAAATTCTCAGGCACACCCTTCTTCAATAGACAATCACAAAGAACAGCCCTGTCCAACGAATCGAAGGCAGCTCTGATGTCAAGAAACACTACGATTGTTGGCCTATGATAAGTATGGTGGTGTTCTAACATTTGGCGGAGGGTGAAGATATGATCAATACATCCTCGACCAGAACGAAACCCAGCCTGCTCCTCGCGAGTCAATCTTTCTCGGGTTTTGAACAACCTACGAAGTACGACGGAAGCCAATAGCTTGGACGCAATCGGAAGTAGACTTATCTCCCGATAGTGGTTACAGGAACGACGTGAACCCTTTTTAAAGATAGGGACAACTATCGACTCATTCCATGACGTCAGTACACTCTCTAGTTCCCAATTCTTTGTAAACAACGTCGTCAATTCCTTAGTCAGAAAGTCACCACCATCTTTAAAAAGAGCCGGAGGTAAGTCATCTGGGCCAGGTGATTTGTTGCGCTTCAAGAGTTGGAGTTCCTTGCGGACTTCCTCCTCGTTTGGTGAATCAGTCGTCACCGACCATGGAGGGCAGGACAGTCTGACCGATGTTGCCGGAGCAGCAGGCCAGTTGAACTGCCCTTCGAAGAATTCTGCCCATCGTCCAAGACGTCGATGGATGTTAGTGATTGGCATCCCATCATCCTTGTAGATTGTTGCGCTCACACCAAACTTCTTGCTGCCAGTGGCTTGGATGCGTTGGAAGAGCTTCCGGTAATTACCAGATGCAGCTGCTGTTTCCAGCTCATTAGCACGCTCTTACCACCAGGCTTCTCGGTCCTTACGCAAGCTTCGCCCGATTTCATTATGTAACATTCTTCGTTTCTGGTCAAACTCACGGTCACCCGGCTTAGCCCAACGGGCTTCAATGGGTTGTAAGGAACCTCAAGAAACCCAGTGCTTATAAGCGGGACGTTTCGCGAACCCACAACTGACTGTACCCACCATTTTCATGGCGTCATGCAATTGCAACCAATATCACCTAGAAGACTCTCTTCTGTGCCTAGACGCCCGACCTGACCATTCAATTCTCCGGCTAGTACTACAATATCTGTCGAACGCACTTTCTGGAGAATAACAGTTAACTGGTGGTAAAACTCATCCTTGATTGCATCCTGGCTGCAATCTGTCGGAGCATAGACAGAGATGACGAAAATACATCGTTTCTCACGCCAATTTCTTCTCACTTTGATAGAACTCTCTAATCTAACGGCACATAACTGACTGTTAATCGGGATCCAATCGACTAGTGCTGCCTCAGCTCTAGCGCTTAGTGCGACACCAACGCCAGCAAGACCAGACGAAGATGCCACAGGGTCCCCGGATAAACGCACTTAAAACAAGCTTTTCGAAGCGACAGATGGAGAGCAAATTTGTAGTACTTCATCAGAGTCTTGAATACGGGTCTCGGATAGACAACAAACGTCGATATTAAAACTTTCCAACGACATAGCCAGCCTTAACTGTTGTTTGACCCGCATAAGTGTGCGAACGTTGAAGGCAACCATTTTCAATGATGCACGTGGTTCCAACTTATATTGTAATGCCATCTGATTTTGCAACCTCAAGTGGTGTCCAACAAGGCTGTCCACTATCTCCATTTCTGTTTAATTTAATTGTAGACGTACTGCTGGAAATAACATTCTCGTCGACTGAATTTTCGGGAATCGATCTGGAGGTCCACTTATCGACTTAGAATACACAGATTACATAGTCCTGTTTGATGAAGGTGCTGATAAAATGCAGAGCCTTTTGATAGCAGTCAGCAACAATGCCAGGATGTTTGTAATGCATTTTTCCCGCTGTAAATGCAAGTTGTTGCTTCAGGACTGGTCTGCGTCAACACCTGAACTAAGGATAGGGAGTGAAGTGGTCGAACGCGTTGACAATTAGACTGCATCTTATTTGCATTGCCGAGACAACAGACATACATTTTGAAAAACCGGAATTATGTGTACAAAAGAGATTGGTACAACCTCTTTTTCTAAAACGGTCTTAATGTATTAAAATTTCTTTCTTTTTCTTTATACTCTTGTTCCCTTACAGCCACCTGCTTCACCTTCCATCTTCCCTTCAAATCTTCTACCCCCAACCGGTTTGTTTTTATTTCCACGATCATTCCGATTACATTTCATCTCTGTTTCAACATTTTATTTTATTTTATCATGCTCAGCCATCCTTACCCCATGAATACTTAAGCCATTAACTATCAAACGATTAATAGACTTTCCTTGTTTTAAAGATTTTTTTAATATCTTTGTTTATTTAACCTCACTCTCACCATGTATAACAGAAGTTTATTATCAGTATTATTATCACCCAGTAAAAATAAGTATATATATTTGCGATTGTACAGCTTTGAAAATGAATTCGCCGAAAAGAGAACTCTTCGCTGAACTAATCTTTCTTTCTTATTTAACTTCACTTATCTTGGAAGTCTAATCAGCCCTAATGGGTTGGTGTCTGACGAAATCTCAGCACGGATTCGAAGAGCTCGCTTAGCTTTTGCCAACATATGTCACCTATGACGAAGGCGAGGTATCTGTCTATCAATTAAGGGACGAGTATACTGCGCAGCAGTTCGTTCTGTTCTACTTTACGGCTGCAAAACGCGGTCATTAAAACTAGAAGATACCCGTAAGTTACTAGTATTTGAACACAGATGTCTTAGAAATATCGCTCGCATCTGCTGGGATCACCGGGTAAGTGATAATGAGGTTAGACGCAGGGTATTAGGGAATGATGACAAATTAGTTGATGAGATTGTGAATCTATATCGACTGGGATGTTTGGGCCACGTGTTACGTATGCCTGAACACCGATTACAGCAATGCCCAATGCTGACTAGTGTAGGGGATGGTTGGAAGAAAGTTAGGGGCGACCAAACTAAAACGTGGAATCGGTCCTTGAAGTTACTGAATTTCGGTTTGAGCCATGCTGGTAGATGAAGGCTACTTCATTGGGGTCCACGTGACTATTGTAACCAATGTTTGGAGACTCTGTGACATGGCTCAAAATCAGTCACAATGGCGTAGGTGTATACACTCTTTTTCTTCCCTTAAATCGTGGAATTAAAATTGCTTCATACCTTTCTGTGTTTTTATTCACTAATTTATATTTTCTTGAGTCGTACCTTCGATGCCTAATTTTTTCTGTTACTGTTAATACCTCTACTATCCTGGGACTTGACCTGACAATTTCATCTATATTCGCTAATGGGGTATGGTATATACACACGTACCAAGTTCTACGATGCGACTGACTGACAATCTAGCTAGAAAATCATACAATAAACAACTTACTGTTAGGTTAACTTTCAAATCAGTTTTCTCATCGCTACATGCATTGCTGCCAACTTGATTTGTATTTTCATCAAAACTCAATGTTGTCAAATTATTCAAAGGTCTATATATTGGGAAGCAAAAAAGTGCAAACTCAGGTATAATGTGAGTTTCATAACGACGATATTATATTCATTCCAAATGCTTAAATTATCGAGAAAAAATGTTTAAATAATCGCGTAAGCTTGCTCTGATCTGCGACAACAATTGCATGCTTTTTCAATTTCTAACTGGTGCATTACGCAAGAGAGAGCACCAAAATCTGTGCTACAAAAACAAACATTGACCTTATTGTGATATTTCTAACCTACAAATACGTAATTCTTCACTTGTGTTTACGTCTCATAGAATGAGTTGTTGTAAGGAATTAAAAGCCAGTCAATACGCTGAAACCTAATTAAATGGAATCAGTATTAGGAACTAAACATCAAAATATCAACAGTGACACAGAGTTCATATTATCGAAACTATATATAAACAGTTCTACCGAAAATTATTGTTTACTGTATAGTTACTAAATACTGGAATTATTGTATCTTTGTATTTCCCCAGTGGTAAGCTTTCGCTTGGCTCATAAACCATTGTTGTATTTTAACCTTTCTCAAGTTATCGTTAATTAATTACAAACCTATCACTAAGTTTCATTCCACATGTGTTCTCATCCTACTTTTGTTGTCAGGATGTGAGCGTATGAAAACAGGACACTGACAAATACGCATTAAGATTATCGTGGCCTCAATTCACGGTTGATCCTGCCAATCAAAGCGTATTATTGGGTCAAAGCTTAGGAGCCTAGGCTATAGACGAAACAATACAGGTGGGAAACAGAAATACTATACGATTCTTATTGACTAATCATGTCAAATAATATCGATCCAATGCTGATTTGCCATTCATTACAAAAAGAAACCCTACATTATAATTATATGACACTTGACACAGCTGAAATGCTTGAATACATAAAATCTTCACTGTATTTCAAAGATTTTACTTAATAACAAGAAGAAAACGAACACTAAACCAGAAGTAATCACGAAAGTTGAAATATTCCACAGCTTTACGACAGAGCTTTTTAAAAATTGTGATTTTTCAATTCATCAAATTTATATTTCTATACCAAAGCATTGGCTGTTTTAAGCTTTTTTTAAGCTTATTGGATATGAAAACCAGTCGTCATAGAAAACAGAATTGTATTCACTTTTAAGATAAGGTGGTGGTTGGAGGTGGTCGACCACTGAGTAGTGACCATTCAACTGTAAACTTTTGAAATAACACTGCGAAATTTGAATGGTTATTTATGTATCAATAATTAGCAACCTCTCAAACTGTAGGATCTAATAAGTATGAATGCTACAATAGATCAACAAACAAACTAATAACCATCCTAATTAAACCAGTTGTAAATATTTTGATGTCAATCATGGAATGAATGGTATGGAACGCTGTGAAACTGACAATGTAACAAGTGTACTATCAAAAATGCGCAATTCAATAGTTTTAATCAACGTTTTTAGAAAGTCTTATCTATAAAATTTACAAACTTAGCTATTATGAAACAAATCTTTAAAAAAAATAACTTACACAGAACTCTCCAACGCTTTATGACGTAATGTTGGTCGACTCTTGGTCGACTTTTCAGTTCGACGCTTCTTCCATTGGTTAACAACTTTTATAGGTTGTGATGGTGTGGATCGTTTGACAGAATGTTGAAGTCCGATCGGTAAAGAAATGTATAAAATTGATTTGAAGCGATTTAAATAACTGAACCTGCTTGAACACATATGTCTAAAATCATCTAAGATTTTTTGAAAAGGAGACATCACTTCCATTGGGAATGAAAATGGATTCAGTGAAAACATACTAAGACGTTTGAATAAGGCATCTGGTAAATCAGTCGACTGAATATTTAATTCTCCTTCAGAAGCAAATGAACCATTTTGTGAACATGGGAATTTCGGCACTTTATATCAGCAAACAAAAATAAAACAACTATGAGTAAATTAATGTTGGCTACAAAAGAAATTAAAAGACTAAAATACATGCGTTGTTATCTAAGTAGTGATAATAGAAGTGCAGAAATATCTGAGTTATGGTAAAATTTAAAGAGATGACATGCAGGTAGCTAACCTAACGCTCTATTTAACTGACCTGTGACACACCTATTAAGTATATATATTGAAACTTTACGCCTATGGAAAGTATCAGATTCCTTAAATATTTATATGCATTTAATAAACTTTATTGTATTCGGTACGTATTCAGCAGTGGAAATCAGAACACATGTTACGTCCTATTCAGGACATGTCAGTGAGAGCTACTTGTATTCCAATGTTGATGTTTACACTAAGACTTGAACCTAATAATAACCGCTTGACACACACATCATGTTATGATCCAGTGAACCACAAATTGTTATTAATAATCATTGAATAAACTTTGGAGCTTAAGAAAAACAAAGTAATTCCATCCGAATGAGACAAAAAATAATCAGAGGATTATATTAAAATTTGTATGTCGTACAAAAAAAATAATAACGCGTTCGTTCTATAATCAGACATGTGTTTCAACGTATTTACCTAAGCATACAATTATTTGGTGCCTAGCCTGACATAGTTGAAACTAGGCTAGATCAGATTAAGCGACCTGGTATTAACTATATATATACACTTCTTTTTTAACTATCGTTTAGCTGAATACATTCAATTCACAAGAAATATTCACTAGTCAAGATCATGAGTCAGTTGAAGCTAGACCACCATGAAAAACCTGGAAGCAGTGGACGGCCGTTTCGTCCTATTGTGGGACTCCTCAGCAGTGCGCATCCACGACCTCGCCCCCTGCGAGATTCGAACCCAGGACCTACTGGTTTCGCGCCCGAGCACTTAACCACTAGACCACTAAGCCAGCATCCAACGGTGTTAATGTCTAACTTCAACTAATTCACGAAATTGAGCGACACATTCACCATTGTCTTCAGTGAGTTACTACCTCACAACAGACCTGGTTGAACTCCACTGGTCACTACTTCTCACTAGAACTCCAGAATATACCTCGTGAAGCCAGTCACTAGTGAGCATATTTTTCATTAACATCAGATGGGTTTTTGTGGAGATTGTAGTAATTTCAATGGTTAAGATCATGAATCAGTTGAAGCTAGACCACCATGGAAAACCTGGAAGCTCAATTTCGTGGATTAGTTGAAGTTAGACATTAACACCGTTGGATGCCGGCTTAGTGGTCTAGTGGTTAAGTGCTCGGGCGCGAAACCAGTAGGTCCTGGGTTCGAATCTCGCAGGGGGCGAGGTCGTGGATGCGCACTGCTGAGGAGTCCCACAATAGGACGAAACGGCCGTCCACTGCTTCCAGGTTTTTCATGGTGGTCTAGCTTCAACTGACTCATGATCTTAACCATTGAAATTACTACAATCTCCACAAAAACCCATCTGATATAAATATTCACTAGTCAATTCTATAACTTAGTTCAACAATCTATGCTCCCGGCAACTTATTTATTGTTGGGCATAATTGCACAGAAGTTTACAATGTATATCTCTCAATACCTCGGACATCTTCTTACCTGGACATAGTGAAACTATAGTTTAACTGACGGCCTCCAGTGACTTGCATAACCTTGAGAAAGCGAAGCCAATACTCAACCAATCAGAATGGTGATATCGATGAGTAAACTGTCACATGAACCCCCACCACAAAAAATATATATATTAGGGCTAAGATCAAGAGTTTATGTTAGAATTCCGTCCTAAGATTTAGGTTTTAAATTAGAAGTTGAGTTTAGGATTAAGAGTTGGTATTAACTGGTTGGGAACAGCGTGCATCAATTTTTACAACACCTTTTAAAACTCCCAAATCATGTAACAATGTTATAAACACTAATTGTTTTTTATTCACTACTATCTTTTCCGTGAAAAAACTAACCACTTTATAATGGTCACTGTAAGAATCCGTCAAGTTCATTCTTATTCTTTCGTCTTCTAATATTTGATAATTTTAAGCATCTTCATGACTAATTACTGGCAAATTGTACTTAGCTCTTGATAGAATACCAGCTATCTTTCTTTGAGTTTTTAATTTCGCAGGAAAACCCAATACCACTATCACAAATCATTCTGGTTCATCAATCAAAGAGTACTTTGATGCACAACATTCAAAGTATAAAGTTGGAAAACATTACAACCATCTGTGACAGGATTACAAATCAGTTCAAGAGCAGTGAAGATTTTTGGTGTTGAAATTGGATTTAAAAGTGAACCAGACTATTTATGTGATTTATAGCAAAGTAATCCAATAAATATAAAGAATTTTTATCTTCACATGTAAGTAGGAATTGCCAATTTTTAAATAGAGCTCTAATATACTCTGATTAGCTGTTGTCTAGGTGTCTTTGGATTGTTCCAACTATTGATCGACAATTAATTGAAATTAGTATCTCATAAAACGCGATTAACTGTCAAAAAATCTGCTTCAGAACACCTAGCTTTCATTTACTTGTCATTAACAACTTTAAACAAACAAATACAGATAATATAAAAAGTTTCTTACATGACCATAATTTCGCGAATCGATTAATTAGATATTCGACCATTTCACGAGTTTGTTTCAGTGTATGAGGATGCTTCACTTTAGATAATAAAAACAGTGGAGCAATACAGTGTTCATCAAAGTTTTCTGTAATATCACATCCACGTCGTGAACATAAACGTGAATTCAATTGAATAGCAGCGGCCAATGCTAAAAATACACCTATTTTTTCAGTAGCGATTTTATTCGCATTTTGAAGTTGTTCAATTAATAAATGGGAATTCTGATTAGAATTTTCACTTTTCTTGCTAATATTGACAAAGTTTAAAATTCTGTCTAAACTAATATGAAAAATAATGATAAAGCATGAAAAATAATTATAAAAATTTAGTAAACGATTTACTTTTTTTACAAATAACTGACGAAAAAACCCCGCTTTTGGATACGACAAAAGCCATATTTATTTATTTGTTTAAACACATAAACGTTGGCACAAAGAGACACCTATATATATATATATATATATATATATATATATATATATATATATATGCCACACAAAATAGTTATCACTCAATTTGTGTGTAGGCTAGGATATTGTCTGGGTGCCTAAACCGAGGCAGGTGATTTGCTTAAGGAGCCACTCCCCAAACACTTGATCTAGAAGTCTAGTCCAAAGGGCAGTGGAGCAACGTTAAGAGATGCGGTCCCATGGTAGCAGATGACCAAGAATAAAATCATACGCCATTCGACCCTTCAGGACACTGAATTGGTATGCAACATAGATTTGAAATCAGGGTTTTCCAACTACCCTAGATAGATCCTCTATACCCACCAACCCGACTTATGAGCCAGACATTGGCTTTTCGCCTTCTCAATTTCGTAAACAAACCCACTGCGAGAAGGCAGTGGCTATATACGCGTGGTCATATGGTCATTTCAAGAGGGAATCCTCATCACCCTCAACCGTACCAGGGCATTTGGGTGCTATAGATATATAGTCTTTTCGTACAGATAAAGTTCATTCGACCTCTTAATTTAACATTGTCTTCGTTTACTTAGTTACTGCATTTCCTTTTATTCAAATGTAATTTATGACTACATTTACATGATCTACATACTTCAATGATCTGATCAACTAATTTTATATGAATCCACTTTTTAATTAGTAATCTTACCAAATAATACTAAACATTTATATTTAATTGCCTAATTCTCGAACTTAATTCTTATTCTTAAGTAATAAACTTAAAATAATTAACTGACGACATAATCTTATCCTTAGATCTGATTTTATATCTGTTAAGTTGCTAACTGACTACTGTTTTAGAAAGAACACTGTCGAATTGACCAACCAACATCTGGTACTTGGTATTGATTTCAGACTTGAATACAGAACTTGTATTTCAGTGTAGAGCCTTGAAATAGAGAATTAGTTGAAAAGAAATAATTCTTTGCTTAACTTTTCATTTTTAATGTCTCGATGAGAACACATACTGAATCATACATGTGTCAATAAAAGTAACTTCGTACTTGTAAATAAATATATATAACGAGAGAGGCCTACAGTATTAGTGGAAAAAATGAAAACGTCTTAACTAAGAGAATTCTGTTTTCGGTGATGCCATTTGCTTAAACTATACAACCGTATTTATAATTATCAGGTGATTAGTGGTGGTTGATAGCAAACCCTGGATTACAATTTCATGATACACGGCATTGGTCACGTGCAGCGACGAACAAATAATCGTTCACGGTTGTCTAAATAAGCAAAAGAATTGACTTAAATGTTTGGATCAGCAACTTGTACATGACTAAGGCCATAGCAACCTATCAGCTCAAATCTGATCCTTACATACAAGAATTATATTCAATGTCGTTTACCAATATAAAACACACTGAATGTTATCCAGTTGTTCAGATCTAAAATTGGAAATTATATTTTGCTAAGATAACAGGTTCTTCAACTTTTTTCACTGAGTGTTGAGTTCTTTTGTGTAACGACATACCTGAGTCCTTCTTATTCTAAATTATATTTTCGTATGACCTATTTATTTTAACACATAGATATTGGTACAAGGAGGCATTAAATACATATGCGCCACACAAATCTCATTCGATATAAGTGAGGGCTGCGACACTGCCCGGGTGCCTAAACCGAAGCAGGTGACTTTCTTAGGGGGCCACACCCGGAGCCTTCGAGCTGAAGGTCTAATCCACATGGCAATGGAGCAACTTTAGGAGATGCAGTCCCATGGTAGCCGATGACCAACAATTGGTGCATATCCCATTTGTTCCCTCAGGATACTAGAGCCCATGTGCACCATTGGTTTGGAATCCGGTTAAGGCGCCAGACATTCGCTTTTCGTCCTCTCATTTTCGTAAAGAACAACCCCTCCACGAGAAGGCAATGAGTAGGACTTCCCTGGCAGAGGCTGTATACGCGTGGCCGTGTGAGAGCATTTCGAGAGGGAGAGCGGACTCTCCATTCTCGACCGTATCAGGGCATTTGGGAGCACAAGATGACAATGGCTGCGAGGTAAGGTATATTTGATTGTATTGGATATATAGAGAAAATAAAACTTATAAAATAGCTATTTATAGTAGGAGAAGCATTTTACGTCAAACTATGCCATAATTTGATGATAACACTTGGTCAAGATCCTTCAGCTGGTACTGTCCATTTAAACTAATAAGTTCAGAATCGATGCCGAATGCTTACCTCTTCAGACGCCTCAGGCAATTTTAATCGTCTTAAAATACGTGGTAACTCAGTTGAAGAAAATCTGAACACCAATTAAACTTTAAATATTTCCTATGATTTTACTAGCTTATCTCACACAATTTGTATTTCTGTGTGATTTCAAATTTACTGCTGCTGTGTCAACGTAGAATTTGATCAAGATGGTAAAAAAATTCGTTTTCTTATTTAGCACTAATGAGTTTTTGAATAATCGATTTCACCGGGATGTTGGAGACAATATTTATACACCGCCTATTTATCTGTGGTCCTTCTTTGGCATCCATTTCGTTATTGCAAACAGTATCGCTTTTGAAGGTGACAATTGTGATTTATGCTTTGAAGCCAATTTCATATTAAAATCAATTGCGAGATATCTTGATTGTTTGAAGATATCTACTCCATCTAATACCAAGAGTTGTTATTCCAAGGAACTTGGTATGGGCCTTTCTGACAAATTCCCATACATTGATGTTGATCTTAATGGTAGGTTAACACGAACTTATCACTCATGATTTAAGTAGTTTAGATTATGAAGCGTACACCTCTTTAAAGATATCATTCAATTATAAAGTTCATTTTGAGTCTACCTAAAAGCAGTTTTACATTACTTCTGTTTCTAAACTTACCAATTTAAAATACTCATCAATAGTTTGTTATGACAAGGCTTTCCGATTGTTCATTACTTCTGGTTTTTCTGTGGTTAAGCTTAAATCACTATAAATTTTTAGTTATTGAAAATGTATTCACCATATAAGATCACCTGTTGATCCTTACAATCCAGTGGCAGTTTTTGTCTTCGATTTACTTATATTTATTATTTGCGCGACTTTCTGACCAGAGCACTCACCTATGCCTGTTACCCCTCGTGAAGAAGCATGGGTCGCCCACCAGCATTCTTCATCGAACTCTGTCCTGGACAATCCTTCCCGGTAGTTTCCAGTTGTTATTCATCCTTTTCATATCTGCTTCTAAATTCCGACGCAGTGTGTTCTTTAGTCTTCCTCTTTTCTGTTTCCCTTTAGGATCCAAGTTAGCACTTGTTTCGTGATTCAGTTTGATGATTTTCACAACGTATGTCCTATCCACTTCCATCATCTCTTCTTAATTTCCTCTTGTTTGTTGTTTTGAGTTCCAGATCTTTTTCAACTGTAGGAATGTCGCTCTCCCTTTGCCAAGCCTCACCTTTACATCTGCATCGGATCCTTCTTGTTTACAGATGATGCTGTGCACCTGTTCCAGAGCTCCTTCATCAAGTATGATTGGTTTGGTGTTCTCTGTGTTCATTTTCAATATCTTGCTTTTTCCCTTGTGTATGTTGAGGCCTACTGATGCAGAGGCTTCTGCTACACTGTCTGTCTTCACCTGAATTTGTTCGTGTGTATAAGATAGAAGAGCTATGTCGTCTGCGAAATCCAAATCGTCTGGCTGCATCCAAGCTGTCTATTGTATTCCATGCTTACTCCAGATATAGAGGTCTTCATAATCCAGTCGACCACCAGAAGAAAGAGAAAGCGGAGACTAAGCATACTTTTCTGACTGGTCCTCAATTGGAATGCATCTATCACCTTTCCTCCATGCACAACTTTGCAGTGAAGTTCGTCGTATGAATTCCGGATGATGTTAACGATCTCCTCAGGTACACCATAGTGTCGAAAAAGAGTCCGTAAGGTTCTCCTATCCATGCTGTCAAATGCTTGCTCGTAGTCATGGAAGCTGATATATAGTGGTGAGTTCCATTCAATTGATTGTTCAACGATGATCCGTAGTGTTGTAGCTTGGTGTCTGCACGACTGATCCTTAAGGAATCCGGGATGTTGGTCTCGAAGCTGGTAGGCGTCGACTGAATCTTTCATTCGACTCAACAACACTCTGTTGAAAGCGCTTCCTGGTGCCGACAGTAGTGTGATGCCTCCAAAGCTGAGTTCTCATACTCGCTGAGATCTTCTTCATTGATTTATTGACGATGTATCCTTCGTCCCAGTTTAATTGGTAGGTCTTCTTGAACTCCCAGCGTTGGATGTCGGTTTAATGGTTTGGAGATTGTGTCCGCACTCAAGTGGAAACACTGGGTTCGAGTCTCAGATGCAGGGTTGTGAATGGTCACTGGTAAGTAGTCCTAGACTAGGGTAAAATGGTCGACTGGTACTTCCATGTTTTCAATGGCGGTCTTAATATGATCAATGAGCAAGCTGACAAGTGAAATAATTCTTTTGAAACACAAAAATTACACAAAATATTCAATACATTGGTGTAACATACCATGTTAAAAGATCTAGAAAGGCGCCAGACGACAAGTCAGATAGATTTGGTAATGGTTGTCCACAAACCAATGAAGAAAAAAACCGATAAACCTGTGCATAAGGTAAATATATAGGGTCTGGATCTCTTTTATTGATTTTACGACATTCTACACTTTCCCACGTAGAAGCTCGCTGGAGAACCTGAAATATGTTACAAGAGGATTTCACAATACTAGTTATGAATACATTATGACTAATGACTTCTTACGGCGACTTTAATGTCTTACCCCTACAATTCTTAGTTGCTAGCAGGAAGAATACCCCTACAACTGGCGATACAGTACATTTCAGTGGAAACCCTAAGATGAATAAATTAAGTAAGATATTATACCACTGGAATTTATTGAATATATATATGAGTCAGTGATTAAGATTCCACAAGTTCAACCATTGTGACCATCCTTGCCTCTCCACGTACTTCAATTTGGGAAACCGAGTAGCAGCATTTGTGCCTCGAAACCAAGTACACAAATTTGTATCTGGTAAACGATTCAACAATACATGATAAATAACACCAATGGCTTTTACATGATGTTTTAGGTTTGAGTGGAAAGTTTTTAGTTGTAAGAAGCGGTCATCCTACATACTCTTTGCAGGTGAACATTGTCAAAAGATCTATAGTCCAACGGATTTGAATGCTATATCCTAGTTCTACTTATTGGGATATTACAGATACAAAGTTTTGGTCATAAATGTCAATGACTTAAAAATACAGATTGAACAGAAAATGATCATGAGGTTTTACTAATGGACTGTGAGGGGAGTGTGGCCCAGCTTAGTATTGGAAGCGTTAATTATGAAAATCTAAGCTCAGTTCAGGCGAAGATACAAACGGAGGTAAAAGTATATGTCTTGGTGAATTGTCTTATGTTATTCTTTCAAACATATCAATTTTTAAATTATTTATCAAGTACAGGATTATGTACTTAATTTTCGATCAGATTTTTAGGTGAGTTAAGATAATTATACTATTCAGTTTCTGGAACCAAAGTAAACAGGAAATGCAGTCCAAACTGAAAACTGAATAACTGGGGATTAGATGCTTTAACCATTAAGCCACCTACTTATTACAGTAATAATTAGATAAAAACATGAGAATATGCATTGCTATGTAAACGACATACTTCATTCAATGCCATACTATAATTATAGTATTCAGTACAACTGTGTCTAGTTATTTGTAATAAAATCTGTGTAAAGAAAAAATCTGGTATTAAGTAATCATAGAAATTCTACATCAATTGATCCTTCAGGTTTAACTTCCGGTACAGTAATTTGTGGATCTAAAACAAGAAAAATTATGTTTATAAGTATTGGTTAATACAGATTATTGTTTACCCTGTAAATTCTTCTCATCCACATCCATAAGGCAAGCTATAAGTTCTCTAATCTAAAAGTTAATCAGAACTTTAGTGAATCAAATAAAGGTTACTTAGTAATATAAAAAATAGCTTTTAAAAATACATAGAATAATAAACTAGTAGAATGATATTATTAACAACCAAAAAAGTTCTCACTTAAACTCTAAAAGAATTTCGTAAATTCTTTTCCAGTTAATTGTAAGTATACTCCTATTCCTCGGTTGTCAATGTTTTTTGTTCCTTATGATTTTTGCTGTTTCGAACTCAACTTCATTGACTAATAATAATATTAAGTAAAACTGTTTATAATATCGTTACTAATTGTAACTAGGCCACTGTCAGTTGATGAGCAGACTCCAAGTATAATGAATTCCCTTTATTCTGTAAATTTTATCGTGAGTAATTTGTTGAAATTCATTGAAGAACTAGGTTCTCAATTTACTGTACAAACCAAAGGTTTTTTTAATTAGACCCAGGCTTTCAGTACAGCAGGAAACTAAATGCTGAAAAACGATCAACAGTTAGTATTAGGTTAATATTTCGAGCTTATCGGTGGTTATGAGTAACTGTTATCTCAACGAAATCTAAGCTTCCTCTTATTTTATTTTATTTGAACACATAGATATTGGTAAAGGAGTGCGCCAAATACATATGCGCCACACAAATCTCATTTGATATGTGTGAGGGCTGTGATACTGCCCGGGTGCCTAAACCGAAGCAGGTGGTTTTCTTACGGGGCCACTCCCAGAGCCTTCGACCTGAAGGTCTGATCCACAAGGCAGTGGAGCATCGTAAGGAGATGCAGTCCCATGGTAGCCGGTGACCGAAAATTGGTTCATACGCCATTTGTTCCCTCAGGATGCTAGAGCCCATGTGCACCATAGATTTGGAATCCGGTTAAAGCGCCGGACATTCGCTTTTCGTCCTCTCATTTTCGTAAACAACACCCCCGCCACGAGAAGGCAGTGAGTAGGACTTCCCTGGCAGAGGCTATATACGCGTGGCCATTTGAGAGCATTTCGAGTGGGAGGGCGAACCCACCCCGCTCTTGGCCATACCAGGGCATTTGGGGGCTAAGCTTTCTCTAAAACTCAAGGATCGGTAGAAATGTAACAACCTGTAAGTACATTATTAATTGTAGTACAAATTATGGACCTCACTTTTAAAGAGCGATTTTTTATTCCCGACACTCAACAATGATAGGTTTTTAAAATCATCATAGGGATTTTCTACCAACAGGTTGAAATATACCAGATATCAAGTATAGTTAATCTGAACGTTATTAGTTCAGAAAATGCAATTTATTCCGCGACCAGTGGATTACAGTCAGCGTTCAATCTAAAAAAATCCAACTAAAACAGTCGAAAAACTACTCCTAGAAAAAAATATATTTAGTAGTTTCCAAGGACATTACAAAAACCGATATTATTAAAGAAACGTATCCAAAGTATAAAAACTCACCTCTGTTTTCTTTTTCGTTTGTATGAATTCAGCCAATTCACGTGTTGAAAATGAACGATCTCTAATAGAATTGCAATTTAAATTGAAGTTAGGACTAACCTTTTTAACGCACTCAGTAATAAACTTAATTCAGAATCTGACCATTCTGATGTAACATGATTCAACTTTGTTAAGGATGGAATCATTGAGTATGATTTATATAATATGATTTATCTTATGTTTTCAATGTTGAAATTACAAAATACCAGTGATTTATATGAAACTTCTGATACCAATAAGACAAAATAAATTCTTTGTACTTGACTGTGAAGTGAAATAAATAAAAAGTAGATTACAACAGACGAATGAATACATTTTTAGTGATCAAATTATACATGAATAACATAATTTTAAACCCAATATTACTTCAAAATATAAGTACCAAAATAACTCTGTAATGTGTAAAGTTAGGAAATAGTGATAAGACCAGGATACTTAACGAAACTCAAAAAATATGCATATGACTTTCGCAAGATTGAATGTTAATTAGGGTGGGTAGTGATCACTTATTCCGATTAAATCTAGTTGAAAAATACATTTGATTTATGTGTAAACCCGATCGAAGCTGCTACCTTGACGCGGTGGTCGGGCTTGCCTATCGTGATGACCCAACCGAGCTATATTGGCTGGAACATATGTTCCTGCAGGTTCTACCATGCCAGGCAGGTCGATTGGCGAACGGTAAGACTAAAAGCAGCAACTCAAGGTCTGAGGGCGAAGTCGTACTGCTGACTGTAGAGAGGTGTGACAGCAGTAAGGTGTTTCCCTCGGACAACCAGCATGACAGCGATGCTGCCTTCCCACAAGGAGGGATGGGGTTAGAAAAGGTCGACCCTAAAAATGCACACCTCACCTTACCTCACGGATTTCCGTCTCCGGCGGTAAGGCCCTTTGAAGAACGGAGCTAACACGTCAAAAACCTTCCACAAAAAGGCCGTGCGCGACCGGCCTCAAGCAGTTGTCCCTTGGGCTCTGCGGTCACGCTCCCAGGTCGTCAAGACCAACACTAATCCAATTTCCTTTTCAGGTTCCTCAAGAAATACCCTTCCACGGTGTGGGCAGCCGGGAAGTGACATCAGCCCTCATACCCGTAACAGCACAAGAGACCAAGGTGGTCACATTCAAATCCTTCCTACACCTCCTAATACCTCTCTTATCTCCCCGACTAACCCTCCTCACGTCTCTTTATCACCTCGCACCGCTAGGGCAAACGATTCGAGTACGTGGAACGCCATTCCTGGTGTCCTGAAACCACGCTCTAAACTACACGTAGGAGCTTTTAACGTACGAACACTTTGCCAAATAGGACAGCAGGCTTCATTAGCTAAAACTTTAGAATCCCGCGCCATCGATGTGTGCTGCGTCTCCGAAACGCGCAGACAGGATCCGAGTAGCGTCATTCATTTGACCTCACCATACCAAAATAAAGAACCGACTCGATTTACGCTTCGTGTATCTGGAAGCCCTGATTCCGCTTCCCGTGGCCTCGCCGGCGTAGGTATAGCATTGAGTCCTAGGGCAGAACTAGCTCTCTTAGAGTGGATCCCAGTAGACAGTCGTTTGTGCGCTGTCCGACTGAACGGAACAGTAAGAATCCGGAAAGATAGGGACACTCGTCGTTGCCTCTTCGTCGTCTCTGCCTATTCTCCCACTGACTGCAGCTCAGATGATGTAAAAGATGAGTTTTACAGAAAGCTTTCGGACCTTCTCCGAAAAGCTAAGCGCTCTGATGATAGTAAGTGGCCGGTGACTTTAATGCTCAAGTAGGTAAACTAAGCGATAGGGAAAGACACCTAGGTGGATCCTATGGTGTCGTGGCTCAAAGAACAGATAATGGCGACCGTCTGTTGCAGCTATGCTCAGATAACCGCCTGTTCCTTGCAAATACTAACTTTAAGCATAAGGAAAAACATCTTTTAACATGGCGACCCCCTAATTCGTCCCAACGTTGGACCCAAATAGATCACATCGCTATCAGCCACCGATGGAGGGGCTCGATAGAAGACTGTCGCTCATTCTGGGGCACATGCTTAGATTCAGATCATGCTCTAGTGCGAGCGCGTATTTGCTTGCGTCTTACTGGACGTAGGAAAGACACTGCAAGGAAACCTCTTAGGGGCCTACTTAATGATAGTCAAGCTAAGAGTATATTTCAGGAACAACTAGGAAAACAGTTAGGCAGCCATGTAAGTGATGCCCACCCCGATGCAGCATGGAATGATATCCGAAAAGCTGTGGAAACAGCAGTGATATCTGCTAGCAAGGTAAACCAGAAGGTTAGGGAGCAACACTGGATCTCACAAGCATCTATCTCACTGATAGATGCTCGGAAACTCATTCCACCTGGCTCTGAACATAATGAAGAGCGGAGTCAGCTTAAGCGCAAGCTGACAAGAAATCTACGCAATGATCGCGAACAGTGGTGGGTAGCGAAAGCAAGAGAGATGGAAAAGGCAGCGGCAATAGGTAATAGCAGACAATTGTTCAGACTCGTTAAGGAAACCGGAATTAGGAACCCGACCGTTAGCGAAACAATCTCAGAGAAAGATGAACATATTATTCATTCTCAATCCAGGAGATTGGATCGATGGGCAGAACACTTTAGGGATCAGTTCAACTGGCCTTCAGCCACACTTCGGTTTCCCGCGATCTCCAGTCAACCTGCATGGGAAGTTAATGTGGGTCCTCCGTCCCTTTACGAAGTTGAAAAAGCCATAGGAAATCTGAAACGAGGGAGAGCAGCAGGCCCTGACAGGTTTACTCCTGAGATTTTTAGGGATGGTGGTCCAGTATTAGCAATGAGATTAACCGAGGTCTTAGGTAGAATTTGGGAACTGGACGTAATCCCATCTGACTGGTCTCAATCACTGATTGTGCCAGTCTATAAGAAAGGATAAAAGTCCTCTTGTGACAATCACAGAGGAATCAGTTTGACTAATATAGTGTCTAAAATATTAGCTTCAATAATACTTCGACGCCTAACTAAAGCTCGTGAAGAGCAGACTAGAGAAAACCAGGCTGGTTTTCGACCTGGACGTGGTTGTATAGATCAGATATTCACACTACGTCAGGTTCTAGAACACAGACACACATTCAGACGCCCCACAATGGTAGTATTTCTCGACCTTAAGGCGGCATTCGACTCTGTTGATCGTGAGGTTCTATGGCAGTGTTTGTCACTGAAAGGAGTACCAAAGAAGTACATTAACCTTATAAAGGCTCTCTACTCGAACACAACTGGTAGAGTGAGAGCTTATGGCGAACTGTCATCAGAATTGATTACCTCAAGTGGTGTTCGTCAGGGCTGTCCACTCTCCCCATTCTTGTTCAACTTTGTCATTGACGTACTTTTAGAGATAACACTCTCCTCATCTAAATATACAGGGGTTGAACTTCTACCAGGAGGTTCACTTGTTGACTTAGAATATGCAGATGACATAGTTTTATTTGGTGAAGACGCTGACAAAATGCAGAGTCTTCTGACCACTCTAAGCAACAATGCAAGCATGTTCGGGATGCGATTCTCTCCCTCGAAATGCAAAATGTTGCTTCAGGATTGGGTTACATCGACACCCGAACTAGTGATAGGGAGTGAAGTAGTTGAGCGTGTCGACCGCTTCACTTATCTTGGAAGTCTCATCAGCCCTTGTGGTCTGGTGTGTGACGAAATCTCAGCACGGATACAGAAGGCTCGACTAGCTTTTGCCAACTTGCGTCATTTATGGCGTAGGCGAGATATCCGTCTATCAACCAAAGGACGTGTTTACTGCGCAGCAGTTCGTTCCGTCCTACTTTATGGCAGTGAAACATGGCCGGTAAGAGTAGAGGATATCCGTAGGTTACTAGTATTTGATCATAGGGGTCTTCGAAACATTGCTCGTATATCATGGGACCATCGAGTAAGTAACACAGTTGTTAGGAAACGGGTACTAGGTAAGGATGGCAAATCAATTGATGATGTAGTGAAACTTCATCAGTTGAGGTGGCTGGGACACGTGTTACGTATGCCCAACGACCGACTGCCTCGACGTGCTATGTTCAGTGGTATAGGAGTAGGTTGGAAGGAAGCTAGGGGCGGCCGAATCAAAACATGGTACTAATCCATAAAGCCACAGACAAATGGGCTGAGTCATGTTGGTAGGTGTAGACTACCTGGTTGGGGACCGCGAGATGATAGCAACCGATGGTTAGAGACCCTGAATGACATGGCTCAAAATCGTTTGCAATGGCGCAGGTGCATCCACTTTTTGTGTTCTCCCAAATTCTAATCTTCTGAATTCTTCATGTCCCTTTTTTCCTCTTTCCAAATTTATTTCACTGGATTATACTCTTTAAATAACATCTCCAAACCCTAATCTTCCCGATTACTGCTTATACTCTTATTACATCTACCACTACGGGATTTGAATCGACAAGTGCATCTCTGTGCTAATGCGGTGTGGCAACTCGAACTGATGTACGTACGTACGAAGTTCTACGTTGTTACTGACTGACTGACTGACTGACTGACTGACTGACTGACTGACTGACTGACTGACTGACTGACTGACTGACTGTAAGCCTGCAGATTCAACAAACGGTAACACTGGAGACCGTAGAGAAATAAATTTATAAATTAGAAGATACCAGTGCTTTATAAATTTGCTTGATCTAAAAAGCCCCCAAATGCCCTGGTATGGCCGAGAGCGGGGTGGGTTCGCCCTCCCACTCGAAATGCTCTCAAATGGCCACGCGTATATAGCCTCTGCCAGGGAAGTCCTACTCACTGCCTTCTCGTGGCGGGGGTGTTGTTTACGAAAATGAGAGGACGAAAAGCGAATGTCCGGCGCTTTAACCGGATTCCAAATCTATGGTGCACATGGGCTCTAGCATCCTGAGGGAACAAATGGCGTATGAACCAATTTTCGGTCACCGGCTACCATGGGACTGCATCTCCTTACGATGCTCCACTGCCTTGTGGATCAGACCTTCAGGTCGAAGGCTCTGGGAGTGGCCCCGTAAGAAAACCACCTGCTTCGGTTTAGGCACCCGGGCAGTATCACAGCCCTCACACATATCAAATGAGATTTGTGTGGCGCATATGTATTTGGCGCACTCCTTTACCAATATATATGTGTTCGAATAACAATAATAATAATAATAACGC